AGCCTGCCATACAGCAAGCACTTCAGTCACTCATGGACCATTTCTCTCAGGCCTGCAAAGACTTTGGGCTTACCATCAGCCTGAAAAAGACTAAAGTCCTGGAACAAGGAACAGAAACACCACCATCCGTTACCATCGACGATTACGAGCTCGAAGTGGTCCATCATTTTACGTATCTAGGCTCCACTGTCACTGACAATCTCTCCTTAGACTTCGAGCTCGACCAGAGAATTGGAAAGGCGGCTGCCACACTTGCACGCCTCACTACACGTGTGTGGTCCAACCCCATGCTCACAGAGAAGACCAAGATGGCAGTATACAGCGCTTGTGTCATCAGTACACTGCTATACGGCAGCGAGACATGGACGATGTACGCCAGACAAGAAAAACGCCTGAACACCTTCCACATGAGAAGCCTCCGCCGCATCCTGGGAATTTCGTGGCAAGACAAAGTCCCAAACACAGAGGTCTTGTCTCGTGCGGGCCTGCCAAGCATGTCAACCTTACTCAGGCAACGTAGACTCCGCTGGCTGGGCCACGTTCATCGCATGCCAGACGGCCGCATCCCCAAAGACTTACTGTATGGTGAGCTAGCCACTGGAAGTAGACGCAGAGGACGCCCACAGCTGCGATACCGAGATGCTTTGAAGCGTGACATGAAGGCTGTAGGAATTGACACAGAGACCTGGGAAAATCTCGCAGCTGATCGGTCACAATGGAGAGGAGCCGTTACAAGGCACCTCAAAACAGGAGAAGAGAAGCTGACACAAGCTGCCACAAGGAGGCGGACCCGCAGAAAACTTCGTATCAGCAATGTCCAACAAACAGCATACACGTGCAGCACTTGCGGCAGGGACTGCCATTCACGCATTGGCCTTCACAGTCATAGTCGCAGATGCTCCAGCCAAACACACAATTAGGATGCTATACCCATGGTCGACCCTGACCGATGGAGGCCTACTACTATAACCGAATCAGTTCAATGTGCTTTGATAAGATCCTAGCCGGCGGAAGAACTCCCTTCAAGTCCAAGGGCTTTGTTACCCAGTTCACCAAACCATTCGTTGCCGTCACTGCAAGCCACGGATTACAAATCTGTATCAAGTAATTAGTTAGTCAACAACGAGACAGACGGTGTGCAGAGCAACATGAAAAGAAGGGAGTTAAAGAGAAGGAAGGCTTCTTATGAGACGCGGCGAGATCTTTTTAATAGGCTTTTGTGATGAAAGTTATCTTTTTCTAATCGAATGGACTGTACCGCGTATCATGAATAATGCTGATATAATTTAAAGAAGGTTAATGAACATGTAAGGAAACCTAACATGGTTTGCCAAAGTAGACAAGCTTCATATAGGTAATACTTACCTCAAAAAGAACAAACCTGAGGACACGATTACCACGAGAAGTACGAATTTAAAAAAACTCGTGGCATATTCCGCTATTGCATAATCCACGTGCATTAACGAGCGTGCATTAAATAGTAGTGACCTTAAGCAAAGTACGACGATGACAGTAACGAGGACGTGACAAAAAAAAGAACAATCGGCGGAACATTAGCTCAGTGCGTGTGTTTTAAAATTTTGTACATTTCTTAGCCGTCCGCTGCAAAACAACAAGACGTAATATCACTACAATTTGCGTGGTTTGAGAACGGAAACCCCGACGGCATGTTATTCAAGTTTCCATTTGAAACTCAACGCTGCTCACATATTCTTTATGCCGAAGCCGGTTGAGGTGTGGCGCCGTAAGGGACGGTAAACACATCCTGACATTTGCAAAATTCTAATTAAAACTTGTAATAATCAAAGATTAATAAAGCACGTTCGATCTCTAGTAAAAGTTTTTGTTATTGTACTGATTGCGCAGAAAAAAAATCGGTGTCTTCAGCTCAAGGCGGCGAAGAAAACATTTGCACACGAGATCGAGGCGATTTGTGCCACATAGCCAGCCAACCACCCAGCCAGCCATTCCAAAATGGCGCCCAATGCCTAAAGTCCGGTGTGGTATCACGATCGATCCCCTTGTGACTGGTCCATAAAACCCTCGAGAGTGATTTCCGTAAAAACAACTCAATTAGTATGCGTTCTCCTTCGCCGAACGCAAATATAAATTCATTTTTGTTCGATTTCTGCGGACGTAAGCTCTTTTTTTCTGAACATCTCTATTCTGTTCAGTAAAGCCAAGAAAGGAAACTTCCTTCCCATTAGCATACGTTATGAATTTATTTTTTGATCGACGTCATCTTCAGCGTTGCCGTACAAACTGAAAGCGTAGAACAAGCGATAACAGGATCTCAGACAATTAATATTTTGCCCTTGATTTCTTTTTCTACTCTCTCGTTTTTAAATGTATCGGATTCGCAATTCAGGTGCAATTTTAAAAAGAGTCTAGTGTTTCTATTGTGGTTTGATGTTTGAAGCAGGCCAAAAGAACGACGAACATCACTGAGGACTTATCTAAGCAATCAGCGGCGATATTTTGGCTCTATCAATCAATCTTCACAAAGATTTATGAAATTCAGTTAATGCGAAAAGGTCAAGTATTAGGACAGTTAGGCTTGACAAAGTCAGTTGGACTTCAAAAAGAAAGATCGAGTAGGTCGACCAAAACAAAAAAATCCTCATGATTCTGACAGATTATATCTCTTACATGTCTGATAAGATTATGGGTCAAAAGAATGCGTGTTTGAAAAAATCAGGCATTGACATGAAAATCTTTGTCGACGGCATTTTCGGAAGAATAGTAATACAATAGAGATAACTAAAGATAACGATGATTTTATTGCCGATCATGGCAATGGTTGGAACGCCTAACACGTATGAATTTAATATACAGCCTCGCTAAATAACAACTTCTTTGTACCTCAATAAAGGTAGAGGATTTGACCGTAACGCTAGAGGTGACCAGGGTTCAAATTCTCAAGAGGAGCTCAAATATTTCTATATCGCACTACTGGTAAAGGAATAAAAACTTCCCCAAAGGCTGATTTATCCTAAATTTACATAATAGTTATCCAAGAGTCAGTGTGGTAAGCTAGTGTATTATCAAAATCTCGTTTTAATACTGTTAAGTGGGAACACGCTTATCGAAACTGATCGTATCTCAGCTTCCAAAATTCCACCCGACAACTTATCAGGACAAGATCGGACTAATCAGAATAGTTCCAAACTGGATCATGGTTACGTAAAATTTGGAAAATGAATTTATGATTTAACCTGCCGTAATGCAATTTTATGTAGTGGACCTTTTGTTTTTTTTTTAACAAACCATTCGCTAGGAAAGTTTACTTGTTTACGTTTGAAATTAATTGGAAATATCTTGACGAGCTTCCTGATTGCACTTGAGAGCTCTTATGTTTAGTGTGATAAGCATATGTTGACCTTATTACATCATGGACACCACATCTAGAATATGATTAGAAACATTTCAGAGCCAGGAAGGAAATTTTCTCTGATTTGACAGGCGATTGAACACACTATACACAGCTTTCGATCGAATGATGAACAATATTTCCTTTTCTCCTCTCGTTTTTTTTTTTTGTTTGTTTTTTTTTGGGGGGGGGCGTGGGTATTCATTGCGCTCTGTATCGGTTGATAAAGAATAGCAGATAATCTTTTAACTTTACTGCAACATGTGTCTCATTCCTAAAAGTCTTTTCTAAATGATCACTGAGGTTTAGTGACCCGGGTCACAACAGTAAAATACGACAAATGTCGCTTCCGAATTATCTGACAATGACGAATCATTCCAAAGAAAATGTCCTATGTTCTTTGGAATGGTTCAAGGTCCAAACTAAATTAACTTTATTTCATTTTGAGCTAATGTACTCTATGTTTTATCACAGAAAATATCCACCTTGCTTGCTGCTTCTACTGATGTGGAAGGGAAGACGTTTCGTGGAAAAATGAACGTTCAAAATAACTAGAAAAAAACTTAAACTCGAAGAAGTAAAAATGATGGGCTCAACAGAACGCTTAAACGTGACTTCTTTAAAAAGCCTTTGCCTCCTTTAGAAGGCGGACTAGTATTTCAGTTTTCCGAATGTTTCCGTGCAATATCGAATCCTACTTTATCAGATAAAGGTAATGACGTTATTTCACTTAGCGAGGTAATCTATGAAGTTCTTTCATTGAGTATAAATATAGAGAGGCAGACACTAAATCAAGCTGCACTGGTCATTGTACAGTTTACTCAACAGGCAGCCAGAAAGTTCGCTGAAATCCTAAGTTTTTATGGGAAAGAAAAAAGGCTCTTTTCATATGCTGAATTTTTGCAGAAATGATTTTGTTTTAATGGCTCCTAAGAGACTCTTTAACAGCTCCTAGAATCCAATGCAACCATTGAGGTTTCCAATTGAAAACTACTTGAGATAAGAAGGGAAGTTTTCAATGTATTGTATGAGGGCCAGAAGACTCTCCAGATCTGGATAACTTTAGATTATATAGGTATTACGAGCCTAAAGGAAAAATTAAATCAGCTACTTGGATGTCTTAAGTACTTCAGCGAGATAAAATTGATACGTACGGCAGATTCCAAATGAGGTGTAAATACTTCATGCAGGGAAAAACTGGCTGTCCTTGAAATGAGGCTGTAATTTCTCCATAGTATCTCGACAGGTTTGAAAAGTGATTCTTAATTATCACCAGTTCATGGATGCCCAACCTGTGGAAGTTCACAAAGCCAGCCTACCCTGACTTTAAAGTTGTGGGCTGGAAAATGAAGCTAATTACATGAAGGGAAGTGTTAGAAATTGGGAACAGGTTGTAGTTTGTAAGATCGGTATAACTTAAACGCAGGACCTGAAAAAGCGGGCATACTGAGTTACACGTGTAACTAATCTAATTGAGAATCTTACTTGTATGGGAAAATGTTTTCATTTTAGTTATCACGTTTAGCCTCTCACCGCAACTAACCTGATGCATATCAAACTGCAAAGTTATCCTAAAAATTACTGTTCATCTGAAGCCCGCAAAGCAATTACTACTACGTTACAGACTCACCAGCTTAACTTGATTGATACGTCTAGATGAATTAGTTCTCCACTGGAAGTGAGTTACTCTTCAATCGTGCTCATCTACTGTTCGGGAACAAGATTAACAACCTTTAGAGTCGAGGTCGCCGCTTTTAACGAAAAATGATATCGAGTGTCATAGAGGCTCTTGGAAACTCCCTTAAAGAATGCTAATATACCACAAAAAGCGTGTTATTAAATCAATGTTTTCTGCCAAAGCTGCCACTCCAAAGTCAATAGCATTCGTGAGAAATGCACTTCAATCTCCCTTGGTTTTTTTGTTGGGTTGTAATGAACAAACACTCCAAGCTCATGCTTCTCATTTTTATATCCTGGGGTCAACTAGATCGGTCGTGGATTACAGAAAGTTCAGTTTTATCTCGTCGGCTTAGAAGCATTTGATAGAAAGTAACTGGCTAAATGACATATCAACTTGTTTTACCAGCAGTTGATCAGTCCTTTTACAGAATCTTTTGGCAAGGTGATCGGAGATGACATTTAATCGAACTTCTGGTCTCCGAATCCTGTTTTTACTTTGGCGTGAATTTTTTTGAGAGAAGAGAAGACTCAGAAAAGATTCTCAACGTAATGTTTTCATTCAAAGTCTAATTTTTAAAGTAAACTAAGAATTTCAGATATTCTTTAAACGGCAATAATATCCATTTTAAATTGACTCACTGGGTTAAAAGCCGCCATATTAATGAATAGTCTGTCAAGTTGATTAGCGTGAAAACCGAAAAATCTGTCAACTTGAACAAGCGGAACGTATACAATTAAAAAGATGCATAAATGAAAAGTTGCTCACGGATGGGTCCAACCTCATTAGAGGAAAATATTACCGAAATAAAAAAAATTATCTATATGGCATGAATTGAAATCAAGTGTTTTATTTATACCCTCTCTTTTTGAGTCCGTGCTTTTTTTCATAGTACCTTCATTATGCTTAAACCACCTTATTTTGATAACCCGTAATTCATTTCAGCTAAGTTAAATGCTATTTTTTAAGAATGCAGGGCATTTACAACTAACTGAATAAACCAGAATTATAACATATTCCATATCAAAGTAGCACAACTCTATTAAAACGTCATTATTGAAAAAAGTCACTGATTAAAGTAGGTCTTTCCTTGATTAAAACCATCCATATGCCGGATTTTTGACTTTGCAGTTTAATCATGGAAACATACTATGCCGACGGAAAGAAGACAAAATAAAACGAAAAAAAGGGCTGATTTGATATTTAATTTCACTGCGATCAATCTGCATCTAAGGTATCCCCTGCTGTGTTTGGAATTTAATCTCAAGACTAGCGACTTTTAATTACGTTAAAGAATAAATCGCGAGAAACATCATTATTTTTTCCTTGTCTATTTAAATTTCTATCTCTCGTTGAGAATTCCAAATTTCTCATCATTGTATAGAGACTTTCACAACGCCAAATGAACATCCTTTATCGACTTGTTGGAAAAGTTTCCCTTACATTCCTTGCTTCTTCCGAATTGCCTTTCGGCGTTTGATTTATTATGCACACTCTGTGTGGGCGTTTTATCGGTTCGATGCCTTTTTCACAAACAATATCTCCACAAATGATTGAAATTAACTTTCTATTTTTTTCTTAGAGATAACAAACAAAAAGATCGTAAATTTCCCTTTCATCGAAGTTTATTTGATTTTCGGAATAGACTATTTGTGTCATAAAAGTCACATAAATCGCTATCAACTTCGCGCACTATTTATTTCTTACTCCTATCATTTCAATAAGCGCTAAAAGGCGTGCTACAGACTTTAATCAATCTCTTAATTCAAGTGAGTTGTTAATGATCTTTCAAACGTTATCATAAGTATAACCTTTGGAGATAACATCGTTCTATAGTAGAATTTCTTCACGGTTGAACATTGAACATGATAAGTTGAAATGAGTGTAATCTTGGCTCCTAAACCCAGACTTGGGAAGTGGAAATTGCGCTAATGATCAAAAAAAGAAAAAAATGGTGACTTGAATCATCTGTTCCTGAGGACTGATTTTTACTAAATTCTTCTACGTCTTATTCGGTTTGATGATAGTAATATACTCTAATACCGTGTGTTACTTACTGTTAACGGACACGAGATCAAAGTGGTATTAACAGACGAGCACAAAATCCCCTTGAATCATTTTGATTGAAGATCTGATCTGGTGTGATGTAATTATCATTTCTCTCCATAGAACAGCATGTGTACTTCACTGGGTTTCTTTCTACAACAACTATCTCTTGACTTAATTTCTTATTCTGATGGAGCATGCAGAGAGCTTTCTAAGATATCAATGTCCAGTGTCTCAAATATCAAAGCCTCTATCCTCAAAACTCACGCAATTAAATACATTTATGAAATTCGGGCAAATGATTGCTTTTACGTAGAGAAAACAAGTTTTGAAGGGGCCCTGTATCCACCAAAGACTCAAGTAAACGAAAAATACTTTAAATGACCCACACGCAGAGAAGATGATTTGTCTTACCGGGTTTAAAATCTTGGACAGAGTACTGCTGCACCTGTTAGAAACACAACGAAACGGTAAAACCACTGAGTAACCAATTGTTTGAAACGCAAAACATATTTCATTGAATAGTAAACACTACACACACCATTAAACATTGACAATCTCAGCCGAAAGGCATATTCATTAGTACCACTCACAACTCGCTTCTGCCTAAGTTCTCTCAAATTTCAGTTTTTGATTAATTTTTTAAAAGGATCGAAGATGAATAGTCACACACATAAATAAAAAAAATTAAATATAATGAAATGAGAAATGAGGAAATTATCGCAACATATGAATTACTTGCAAGAGTTTCATTTCTTCCCTGCTCATGTTGATGGATATCAAAATTCATAATTATACCAAAATATGATGAGTAGACTTTTGGTAATTTTTTTTGTCTTCAAAATGGAAATATATAGCTTCCAATGAACACAGTGTAAAAAACATTCCGTGATAATTTTGATATTTGACAGTTAATAGTCTGTATTGCAAGCGTGACTGTCATCAAAAGTTGAATTGAAGACGTAAGTTCCTGCTACATCAACCCATAATTTCAGTGCCGGCATTTAAAAGAGCCTTCCAGCAGAAGTTCTTTGGGTGAAGCAACGAAATGGGCGATTTCAATAATCTTTGTATGATCATAATTGAGCCGTGAAGGACATTAGGCTGTTAGCAATGTTGGTCACAACACGACGTGGTACGAGGATTGAGGAACCTTAAAATATGTTTTCGTCTTTAAAAGTTAATGAATTTAAATAGAAATTGGACAGCGACGTTTAACCATTTTATAAATAAAACATTGCACAAATTTTTGTTTATGAACCGTTTACGAAATGAAGGTCAACTGAGTTTAATAGCTTTAATTGAACCTTGGGGCATGTTTAAAGTGAGTAAAATACTTCTAATTTTTCTTGGAGACTTGGAAAGCGATTGATGATACAATTGGAAGAGTTTTAAAGACTTCACAAAATGTTACATGTACCTTTCATTGTTTGTCTGTGGAACTTGTCAACTGATCGCTGCAAACCAGTTTCCCGCGCCTTATGACGCGTCTGTCTTAGCTTGAAAATGAGGCTAGATGCAGAAAACTTTCAACATGGCAGGAGTCATGGCGGACTTTGTATGAAGTTGCATAATTGCCATTTAAAGGCTAAACTGTGATCTATAAGAAGCGTATATAACTGTTACAGACGATGAACTGATACGATGGATGAAACGCCTGACGACTACACCAGGGAGTTTTACGCAGAGGGAAGAACTCGAGATACATGTTAGTACTGGCTATACTATATTTATTTTATTTATTTATTACAATCTATGGTCAAAAAGGCCAAAGGATAATCTGCAAAGGAGTTCGAAACCCTATATAAAAACAGATCACCTATGAACTAAAATAAATACACTAAAGATAATAAATGCAAGAAATGCATCTATGAAAAGGAAAAATACTTAAGAATCACTAATAAATTTCTTAACTCGACTTACAACTTTTACAATATCAAAATAAAAACAGATCACCCATGGACTTAAATAAATACACTGAAGATAATAAATTCAAGAAATGCATTTATGAAAAGGAAAAATACGTAAGAGTCACTAATACATTTCTTAACTCTAGACTTAAAAATATTTACATCATCAGAATAACGAATATCGAAAGGTAATTGATTCCACATGTCAATTATTCGATGGAAGAAACTATACTTCAAGATGACATAAGAATTCAAGTCCATCAATAGAAATTTATGAGGAATTGAACAAATTGGAACGAAAAAAGTTGTTGTCAGAATGTAACTCCTAAGTAAACGGCGGCTTGAATGTGACATGGATGAAACCCGTCTAGTTTCCTTTAGCGACTCTTTTAGCGTCTTTCTACGGACTCGTTTTTCGATTTTTATCGTGGGATCAAGTTTCCTCTCATGTGCTAGCGTGTGGTAGGAGATGGCAGACTCTCAACTGGAACTTTTTACAGATGGTAAACAAGTGAGCAACGATTACGAACTTAAAAAATAGTTAAAATTTGTTTTCATATCCCACGTGGTTCGCCAAATAATAGCAGACTTTATCAGGGAGTTGTTACAAGTGGGTTGATAAGCTTTGAATTGATGAATGAATGAATTGTAAATAAAATTTCTATTTATGATTTAGTTCTAAATCTGTGACCCCATGCATATCATGTACTCGTACATGTAACGTCTTAAATTGTCATGCATGTACTGCTTCCTGTTTGTGGTTAAGTTTTTTTTTGCTATTTTATTTGTTCAATAGCAAGCCTTCTTGAGCCAGAATCATCAGAACATATGAGCAATGGCTTGGTGGAGCAACTTCAGCTTGTTCAACCTCAGATCGTTGAAAGGTGAGTAAATCTTGCTTTTTTTAACAACCAGTTGTAGAATTGTTGAGTGATTATAACTTGAAACACCCTTCCTTGTAAAATTGTGCTACCAATGATAAATGGAGTGAAAAAAACTGTCTCCCCTCTCCCCTTTTCAGAGTCACTGGTTTGAGTTAACCATTATTCACAGAAGGCAAAGAGAATATTGTTCAGTAATCCTTAAGACAAAGTGAAGGGGATTATTCAACAATACTCACTGAGTCTGAAGTAAATAATTATTTTAGTATAGTTGCTTAGGTGCTTTCAAATTCTGCTGTGAATGTTGGTTTTGAAACCATTCTGTTTCAATTGTTTTAACTACCAATACCAATACAAAGAGCAAGTTTGCACTAGAATTTGATGACTGACAAAATGCAAGCCAACCATTTTTAAATGTATCACTCTTGCCATAACCACCTTGTGCAAGGTAATTATGGTGAGATATGACGCACTCCTTGACCAATCAGAACAACTGGATCTTGAATCTTTAGAGAAATTATACAAAGGTTCTTTAATCCCAGCAGTGATGTAAAGGGGTAAGAGGTGAGTGAGTTTAAATGGTCTATTAAATTAGGCTCTCTTAACTATTTTCTACTGGTTGTAGTGTGAAAAAACAAGAGAAAAGCATTAAAATTCATGTAAATTTGCTCCTCAAATATTGCACAGCATTAAAGTCAAGGAAAGTGTATTTGATCACAGTCACTTTGCTTTCAAAGGATACACTGTTTTCACACCATATCACAATTTGATGTATGTGTTTGTATTATTCATAGCTCCTGTTGTCCACAAAAGCCATTGTTATACCTTACAATGGCTGCATGTATGGCTGGACTGGGTGGAGTTCTGTTTGGTTATGATATAGGTATGTGAAGTTGAAACTCAGGAATTATGTGCAACATTTTTGAAGGGGATGTTTGTGTTAAAACTTTGTAATTATAAGTGTAAATAAGAAGGTCTCAAGAAGGATTGCCTGCTTTAGGTTGATTAGTCCTGAAAGGAATGTTGCTGGGAGACTTACTGACAGTTTGGCAATCTAATTGGGAGTTGTCATCAGAGTCAAAAATCTAGGCACTGATGCTGTTGATGACTGCAACAACTGACAACATTCATTTCACTTTCAACCATGGCAATCACAAGAAGTGATTGATGATTTTTTTTCTTGGTGCAAATCACATCTTCAGGGACAATAACACAAGGATAGCTTGAGACCTGCACTTTTCTGTACCTGCATGTTGACAAGTTACTCTGACACTGCAGCAAACTATAGTGGTCTTTCCCTTGTGTTGAACTGGTAGGCAGAAGAGTTGAGATTAGTAATAGTAATAGTTATTACATTTTTCTCAGGTGTGGTGTCTGGAGCAATTCTTCAACTGAGAGCTGAGTTTCATTTAGATTGCACTCAACAAGAGATGGTGGTGAGTTCCATGCTGATGGGAGCAGTTCTGGCATCACTGATAGGAGGTAACATTAATTGTTATGAAGTATGAATGAAAGATAGAGCACTTCTCAGCTGGGAGTTGTGAAGCCAAAGCAAAAGGAATCACCCAATGAACTTGTAATTGTTGTTCAAAATGCTCTCAACTGTTGTTGAGATAACATCAACCAGTATGTCCTGTTACATGTAGTTGATAACATATACATTTTTCAGTAATGATGGTAACTCTTTTATGCAGGATTAATAGTGGATTTTATTGGAAGACGTCTGGCTATTGTCATTAATTCTGCAGTGTTTCTTATTGGAGCAGTCATTTTGGCATTTGCACCCTCATTTGCAATTCTGGTGGGTAGCATATCCCATATAATGTTCCTTTTATATTCTTATTCCACTCAAGTAAATTGCTTGCAGAAATTTTGTACTAAATATTTGCCACTAATGAAAAATAACTCACGATTCTAGATTATTGGTCGTTTTATTGTTGGGTTTGGAGTGTCCTTGTCTGCCATTGCTGAGTGCATCTACATCTCAGAGATAGCTCCTGCAGTAAGTTTCATAATTATGATTGAGTTGAGTGCTTACCTTCTAAGATCTTTTAACTGATTCTCCCTTCTAATAGCCATAGATTTCCTTGTAAAAATGTTGAGAGATTTTGTCATCATATCAAAATAAAATTGATTATCAGAACTTGAAGCTTTCTTGAAGCAAAATACATTTTCTTAGTTGGTAAATTAAACTGAGATATTAAAAAGTGTTTATTTTGTTTCAGAATAAACGTGGCCTGTTGGTATCAATCAATGAGCTTGGTATATGTCTTGGTCTTTTGCTAGCTTACTTGGCCAATGTGATTTTCATTGATTTACCATCTGGCTGGTAAGTTATTTCTGTGTAGTAACTAAGTTCCAATGTGAGAAATGGGCAAGGGGAGCTCAAATAAAGCTTTCCAACATTTTGAGAATGCATAGCCTCAAGAAACAAACAAAGAATAGGAAAATTTACAAAGGAAATGTATATGAAATGACCAGATTAATGTATTGTCCATTGGTTTGTCTTCAAGGCGCTACATGTTTGGATTGTCAGGAATTCCAGCCTTTATCCAAGGTATAGGAATGTTCTTTTTACCATACAGTCCCAGATGGCTGATAGTAAATGGACAGGATGAAAAGGTACAATTACAGTTACTTTAATGGCTTAATATATGTTATCTGTAGGTTATTTGTATACTAGGAAAATTACAAACTTCTGTCAACTCTTAATGTTTGCTTTAGCTAAGTTTAATAAGAAACTAATGAGTGATTTCTTTCAGCAAAACAGAGCCAAAATTACCAACCTTTAGTCTGTATGTGATTGTTCATGGTAAACATCCTGCTCCTTTTCTATTTCTCAGGCTTGTAGAATGATTCAGAAGCTTCAATGGTCAGGTGACCCACATGAAGAGTTTACAAGGATCAAGTCTGGGCTCAAAGTGGAATATGTATGTACTTATGATTATGCCACTAGAAGTACATCTCTGCAACACCTGAACCCTAGCCCCTTCAGAACAAATATAAGGAAATTCTTTCCAACAACTATAGGGTGCTACTATTGGAATGATATTCCTATATCTATGTAGGAGAAGCCCATTAAAGAACTTTTTAAAAGAGCACTTTTCTCACATTCCCTTTCTAATATCTTCCTCTGACCATGTTTTGTTTACATATTTGTTGTTTAAGGTGTGATTCCTATTCCCTCTCTTGTATTTGTATCTTATATCTCATATCTTATTGTACCGCTTCTTTTTATTCTATGAAAAATGTAATGATATTTAAGGTAAAGGGCATCTAATTAGCTTGCCATATTATGCCCTTCTCCATCCTCTTATCTTACTTGTAATTATTCATTAGACTCTAATCCGTGGAAATGGAGGAAAAAATAAATACCAAAAATACCAAATATGTATGTACTTGAGGTGACTAACAGCTGTACAGAGGATTGAAGGTTATATGGGTTATTGCTCATTACATTTAAGGACAAATTAGAGATACAAATGAATATCTTGCATTAAAACGTGCTGAAAGGTGATTGTCCATGAAGGTTTGGATGTTTAGAGAGATGGGTGGGGAGGGTACTTCCTTGAGGGAAGAATTTCTTACCATAAGCAAATAATCATGTATGTTTCAAATGCTCAAATGACGATGATGCCAGGTGCTAATGAGAGACCTTCTGACCTTAAAATTCTGTGCACATGTTCGTTCCTGCTGCTAGCAGATTCAGGTGCAATTTTTCAGTTCATTCGTCATTCAGTTCAAGTTTTTGTGCCCCTCAGTTCAATTATTCTCAGTTAGACACTTTGCAAGCAGCACCCCTTCACATATTTGTTGAAGTGTTTGTTAATATGTTGTTCACAGCGCTACAAGTTCACAGACCTGTTAAGCAGTATGGAAAACATGAGAAGCAGGATGCTTGTTGGTGGTGGAATTGTGTTTTTTCAACAGGTATGGACACTGAGCATTGTGATTAACAATCATTTAACTGTTTTTTGCCTTCTCTTTTATCCTGTGAATTCAGAAGATGTGTTTCATACAGCTATTTTTCTCTCCTAGCTGCTTTACATTCCCTTGTAAATCAATTGAGAGTATCTGTTCAGTCAGTTGTAAGTAGTTGGCCCTACCCCACTAGCTGATGATTTTGTCTGTTCTGTATGTGTGGATGATGAATTGATTATGAAATGAGAAATTAATTGTTGATTACTTGAGAACTGCAGGGTTTAAAGATTAATATCAAATTAGTTTTGCCAATAGTCTAGGAAACTCCATAAAGACTTCTATCAGTATGAATTGTGCCATCTTTGGGGTATTGAAAATTTGAATTTTCAGGAATATACCTTCACCCAAGCCTTAATAAGAAAATAGGGATCAGAATTATATGAAACTAACACTACGTTTTAGTTTTTTGTAAATAATGCTCGTTATGATCTTGTTGGTGTTCAAACTGCAGTCAATAAACTGGCAGATTTAATAGGTATTGTGATAATCTGCAGAGCTCTGAAAAGCAGATCCACTATTGTAGGGGAGCATAAAATATGAGTAGTTCTGTGTATAGTTTTGTGGAAGAAGATTTAGACCTGTTAGCCTGAATCTGCTCAAGGGCATATTTGAAGGGGAAGGTTAACAATAATATTTTAAGAAAGCTTCATGGGTGATTGTGGGCTTCATAGTTCACAGGTCAGCCAACTGTGGTGTATTACGCATCAACAATCTTCCAAGCGCTCGGCTTTCAAAGTGGTGAGAAGGCAACGTTAGCAAGTTTAGGCATCGGAATAGCAAAGGTGAGTTCTAAGCGTATAGAACACCGCGCCTGTTTCTCAGCTCAAGTTGCTTTTTAGCTAAGATAAGTATTTTCATTCCTTGTCTTTTCTTGTTTCAGCTTGTTGCTACTATAATATCTCTCAGTACGGTGGACAAAGGTGGTAAGGATTGCCTTTCCCCGTTCAAGCTACACCTTGAGTGAAACTTTCAATTTATAGTTGGAAGTAATCAGGGATTGTATTGATTTTGTGCCTCTTCTTTCTCTGATTGATCTTGGAAACTTATAGCAACTCCTCAAAAAATCAGGTGCAAAATTTAAAGTAATCGTGACTCAGTCACCTCACTTTTATTGCCCTCAAGGTTGGTGGTATGTTCTCACAAAAAATGTACTTTAAGTTTTATTCAGCCACTTGTGATGATTATCTGTGTTCTGACTGGCCATTGCGGGTAACTTAGCGGTAGTTCTGCGAGTTCTTAATTTTCTTTTTCCGCTGAAGGAACATTTTATATCATTTGCAGGTCGTCGTCGTTTTCTTCTCATAGGTGTATCAGTGATGGCTGTTAGCATACTCACGTTAGGGATCATTTCACATTACTCACCACTGGGTCTGCATCCAACCAGGAAATGCCACTTTGTTACGCAGACAAGGAACTTTACTGAACCAGCATCGAACCAAACACACATGGCAAACAAAGGATTGCGGTATTTGACCCTCAGTGCTCTGGTACTCTTTGTTGGTGCCTACTCATTCAGTTTTGGACCAGGTTTGTTTGAATAGTGAGAAAAGCGTTTGATTATAGTTGTTTAGAACAAGGAGTTTCGTCTGACATTTGAATTGTTGCGTGGAGTTGAATGTAGGAATGTTCAGTTTAAAGTCCCTATCTTGCCTCTTGCAACACTGTACGCCGGTCGAGTGCGCTAATTTTCTCAAATTACACGCGCTTGGCACGCAAATTGCTTGTGTGAAACACGCAAATGCGCACGGTGTTCTGCATTTGTGTGTAGAATGCGTGTACATCATACGCAAGTAGTCAGCTGTAACTCATGACGAATATATAGTAAGACAGACAGATAGACTTTCGTCTTTAAATTGTTGCTATATTGTTTCGGATCAAAATTGAAAATGATTGTTTTGCCCTTAAACTAAGCAACGACCCAACAACTGTTATATATACATAAAGGCAGTTTTCAAAACAAACCGAGAACGTGATGACCTTTTTTGTCGATTTTCTATCTGATGGTAAAGGAAATGTTATTTTTTTTGATGAGGATAGAAAAAGGATCTGTTTAGAGAAATCTGTTAAGTAGGGGACCGAAATCTGCCTTAGTCTTAGTTCGACATGTAGACGACGGTTTTTGCCCGGAGAATACGGTAACGATTTTCTATTCGGAAGACTATTTTTCAAATACATGTCATGACAGCTACTCAAATTCTAGGTGTATAGGTTACTTTTTTTACGTAGCGTCAGCGGCCGATTCGAACCTTTGTGGAAGCAAATCGCTTAAGAATCCTAAATGGGTTGTATTTTTACAAAATACAACCTTTTCATTACGTCACATAAGGCCAGGAGCTAGAAACACTAACATCCCTTTTTTCATCAACAGTGTCTTGGTTGGTGTTAAGTGAAATTTTTCCAGCTGGTATTAAAGGCAGAGCTTTTTCCATCACCACTGTAATCAACTGGGGCACAAATCTGTTTGTTTCTCTCACATTTCTTGACATGCTAAGTAAGTAAAATATTCTTTATATAAATACTTTCCTATCCAGTCTACTTGTATTGTATCTGCAACAGCCTGGTTGGCCTGAAGTATCTTTGGTTTTTCCTCACTAAGTTCTGTGATCAATCTAGGAAACTGGTGGCTCTCTCTTGGCTAGTCGATGCAAAACTTAACTTTCTCACGACTTGATCACTCAGGTTTTTCCGAGCACCAGGCACTGAGTTTGCTTGTTTTTACGTTGAAATACCTTTGGCTCCGCATGGAATTTGTCTCGTTTCTCATTTGCTAATATGATTACTTTCATTTTGATTTCAGTAGCACTCAGCGTTCGAACATTGTACAGTATACTATTGCTTAGGGTTAGATCCGAACGAGTACTGAAATGAACTTACAGAAAAATCAAGTTCTTTTTTTTTTCTCAGGTGGCATTGGAACGTCTTCAACCTTTATTTTCTATGCAGTTGTATGCATTCTAGCTCTACTATTTGTTTATAAATATGTCCCGGAAACGAAAGGCAGAACTTTGGAACAAATATCCGCAGAGTTGAATGCAAGGTAACCAATGGTGCCGCATATAGTTTTATGAATTCACTATAATTCTAAACTCTTCAGATCCCAAGAAAATGAACAACCCGTTTTACAGAGTGACGAAGCACCGTACTCCATTTGCTCCGACGAAGGGCTAACACTCGAAAAGTTGCTCTAGATACTCTTTACAAAGGCAAATTTGCGTCATCAACACACTTGATAGAACCAAATTATCTTACTATTGACAAAAGTTTGTCACGAAGCACATCTGGTTTTGGAGATGACTTGATAAGAAAACTTAAACTTGCCATGGGAACTAGTAAAGTGTTTAAAGGACGTTCAGCTCCAGCAAGTTTACCTCGACAGTTGTCTTTTACAACTTTCTTGACCAACTATATATAGAAAGCTAAAAACGTTTCCTCAATAGGTGCACCTGCTCAGTATAACTTGTCTTTCTAATGCAGTTGAAATGAATAGTCTCCAATAAAATATTTATCTATTTTCTCAGAAAACCACGAGAGATCCTGCCAAGGAAACTGACCTGTTGTAAGGGCAGAGGAAGACGAAGGTTAAGAGAGCTGGGGACAAGACCTTCGCCTACTGGGTCTGCCACTGATATGTTACTGGAGAATTCTTGCTGAAATTTGAGCCGTTTGGATAATTGCAGTAATTGACATGTGCAAGACAGTTCAAGGTCGTCTGATCGTCAATCTGAAATCCTTTGCAGCCATCGATTGGTTACGCCACTTTAACGCTCGTGGATGTGATGACTTGCTCAGAAGAGGAGGAGAAAGAATCGAAGGAAGAACTATTCGAAACTGCTGATAAAGAAATTACGAAAAAGCGAAGGAGTCGATCAGACTGAACTCTTAAAGTATAGCTATTTTCAGCGGAACACCTCAAATGTTCAATTCCTGACAGATTCAGGTAGAATAGCAATGATGTGTTCAGTTTGTTGGGTTGTGAATCACGTTTTATATTTTTTTTTTTGCACCGGTGCAAATAGCAAACGTTGAAATTGAGCTTCTCAAGATAATAGGGAAGCTGCTTGAAATTACCTTTTCTATGTAATAAATCAGATATGATTGCCTCATCGCCGGAAATTTTTGCGAAAAATATAAATTATTTCGGAAGCAGGTAGCTTGTCTAGTTTCTACTATATTCCCTATTCGTTTCGTTCCATGGCGCGGCGATAGCTCTTGCAAAACCGTTAGTGAAAGATAACCCCTAGCCCTACCCTGCTATATTTCGTAAAGTTCCACCAAACAATTTACGTATTTTTCTCGTTTGAAGTGTTATGGAAGGAGTTCTGTCGTACGTTTACACATGATTAACTCGCTACGATTTCAGTGACAACTTCATTTCTAGGGGCCACTCGAAAGAGCCGTCAATTTTAAAACTGAGGTGCCCTGGGCCGGAGGTCGATACACAAAGTTCTCATCTGGTCGCATCCTGGTTCCTGGGCGGGGTTCCTGTGGAGTCTTGTGGGGCTCACTGTGCTAATGCTAGCCAAAACCTTAACAAAGGCGCGCGCGAATGAGGCTATGGTCACCATGGTAATTTGGTTTTATCAACTGAGTTGATAACGTTAATTAGCCACCGTAAAGAGTTTCAAAGCTGACGTTTCGAGCGGTAGCCCTTCGTTAGTCCTTCGTCACCTTGCTTTTGTTTCAAACCTGAGCACGCTGGACTAATATTAATTAAAACAAAAACAAAAACAAAAGAAAACAAAGAAAAGAAAAAACAGGTTTAATAACTCAGTTCATAAACGTCATTTGTCTAGGGGACTTAGCATTCCTGTCACTTTGAATGTGCACATGATGCTTACTAAAAAGAAAAGGAGTGAATCCTTCAGTGAACAAACCAATGTTCAGTAACCTACACTGTTCACAAATAGAACAACCAGACAGACACCAGTTGGCATAACTGTATTCGATTGACAAATTTTAACTCGCGGTTAATTATTTATTGACCTACAGCGAAGAACCATCGATTTCCAATGTTTGAAAATAAGCTGGTCGACGACAAAACAGAGACAGATATAACAATTGTACTCAGACTTTTTGTTCAATTTTGATAAGCTTCTTGGCTGACTGCTACGCAGGTTTCTTAACTTGAGTAATTTGATATTTGGGCCACAAACCATTCGACTGGTGGTGTCGCTGCTGCTGAGGAAAAAGGTCCTGTTCCGCACTGTTCTTGACTGGATGAGAATGGCTTAGGTTTTTTTTTCATGTAAATTCTTGCATAAAGGAAAAGGTAGGGAAAAGTACCGAACAATTTACCATGTTTAGTCTACGGTTAAAAGTACGCAAATATTTCAAGTAGAACAATCTTTATTGTTTAAATTGATTCTTCTAATTGTATTCTTTCCAGAAAGTTTGTGATCACTGAAAAGATAGAGAAGTATCAGAAACATTCTCATGTTCCGAGCGACCGCATTATTTGTAGCATTTGCTCTCTTGTCAAGTCTTTTTAACCTGTGTAAGTATTTTTGAGACATCAAAATTTCACTCGATGACCCTTGTTACTAAACAAACTGGTTGCTTGTGGGGTTGCATTTTTTTATGATAACCGTCAAACCTTCAGTGCAGTTTCTGTTATCCTACAGTATTACATCAATACTGCTCTACAGTTTTCTATCATAAAAGGCTCGTGCCTCTTGATAGATTTATCCACGATGCTGGTTTCAAGTTCGTAATTAGCAATCCGTGATGGACCATCTATGCTCCCTTTTAGTTTCTCCTTCCCTCTTTTCCAGCCAAACTACCATTGAAAGGTTTCCCACCAATTAATCTCACTAAAAAGCCTTTACAAAATTGAAAATGAACTCGTATGTGGTTGATTGTCGAAAGTAATTCAATTATACAATTGGGTTCTACCTTGCTACGCTCTGATTGGTGTCAAAAACTTGAGTTTCCATTTGCTCCTTGTAACATTTTCCTTTGTTCTGATTGGCTGTTGTGGTTTTACGACACAGTCTAATAGCAAGCTTTGTTTTGTAACCCTCTAAACATCACTTGCATTACAAATGTGACAAGACATCTTACTTTTTTGTCAGGGGTACAAGCGTTTAAAAATGTCCAACAGAGAGCACAAACAAGAGATCTGAACGGACTGTTAAAAAGTATGTAAATGATTAAGCTTCTGTCCTTATACTTCAGATAAGTTCAGTTTACTTGTTATAAACGACAAATTAGATCATAAATCTATGATCCTATACTTAGGATTTCTCAGCGTAAAAGATAAAGACCTAGTTCACGAATAATAGTTACATTAATAGAGGTGTGCACCCCTGATTTTGCGTCTTACCCTTTGACCTCCTTTTTTCACCTTTTAGGCAAATTCATTACATTCGCTCGCCATGGGTTTGAAGAACACAACAATTTCCGTACTCTTCATCATGTTGCACCCCTCAAATGGTCAGACAAGTTAGCCATACAGGCTCAAAAACTCGCCTACAAAATGGCGCTCAAAGGAACCATTCAGGTCCCGGGTATTGATTTGTTTGGCGAGAACAGAGCCAGGCTTTCCGCGGTTAATTTCGACTGCGAGACGGCTGGTGAAGAAGCCACCAAGATTTGGTATAATCAAGGTAGTAATTACAGCTTCGCTGATCCTAGGCTGAACAGCAATACTGATTCATTCACTCAAGTTATTTGGAAAGGAACCCGGGATGTTGGAATGGGTTGTGCACAGAGGAAAGGAACATTAAGCAATGATATATTTGTTGTTGCTTTGTACTACCCTCCTGGAAATAGTCCGCGCGCTCTTCGGGAAAATGTGGTCAGTCCTAATAAAAACGTTAACGATGCATATTCGTCGATATTCCGAAGACGAGATGAGTTATCTAAAACCAAACGAACACGAATTTTGACTCGAGAAAAAGAAAGACAAAAGCGCAAGAGACGAAAACGAGCTTGAACGTTGATTCCTTTTTCCCTTCCCTCCGCCCCTGAAAAAGCTATGGTAGGAAGAACGCCGTTTGCGCATGCGCACAGAGTAACTCCCTTATGAGAACACATCCCCGTATAGTACTGTATATGTCCGTTGTGAAATGGCTTTGAAGTGTTTCGTTTCTTGATCAACCACGGTGATCAACACAGCATTTATTCACGCAGGCGAATACAAGATAACCCGTGAAACGAGGATGTGGAATTGGTCAGCAAGCAAGTTTTAGGAGTTAATAAAGAAAAATCAGTTCATCGTTGGCAGATTTCTTAAATGTCTAGTGAACTTACCATTTTCAAGTTCCGATTGAATGGAATAATTGTCCTTTGTCGTGAATATACAGACAGTCAACACTGCTGCAATCATTACAAAACACCACGGCTTAAGTGGATAATCAATAATGTCTGCGGGAAATCTAATTGAAAGAAAGCGGATAATCGATGACCCTGACAAAATGATACGCCTACTTAATTCTTTCTCAAATTTAATTAAATTTAACGATATTTTCTTCGCAATTTTTTTTTTTGTCATGGAGGATGTATTTTTTTATTTTTGCCCACCTGCCGCTGTTCCTCACAAGGGTATACTTAAAAAAGCATCACTGATTCTCAAAGCACCATTAAGAAGTATCTAGAGAGCGACTGAAGCAGTAGTTATGCATATAAACACTATTTAATGTCCTAAGAAAAAGGATAGGAGCAACATCTTGTAAAAAAAATGTATTACGATGCTTGTATTTTTTCTCTGATTAATTACAATGATCTCAATTCAAGACTCTATGGAAATAATTTCTTCTTTTTCATCTTTTTACTGTTTTTAAGTTTAGTAATGACGTGACGATGTTCTATGAATGGAGTTAAGTGAAAGTTTTTTCGGTCGATAAATTTTTAATAATCAGCATAATGGCGAACACCTTGAATTTACTTCGCAGAGGTTTTTGAGTTATTTGTCATTCATTACTAACAAAGTGAATTGCCATTTCTTATAGGAGTAATGAGGTTAGTCTTTTGCATACCTCTTAAAGTAACTGCCTAAAAAAGACTTCTAGTATGTTAACATTGTCTTAATCTTTAAGCTTGTCATTTGTTGATAACAGGTCACTGTTTAGACGTTATTTCGCTATTTTACTTTTAGAATGAAATTATTGAGATGATGTCAATGTTTGGAAAGAAATTGTTTGTTTCTTGGACAGTGACCAGAGAAAATCTGTTGTTTGGGCTTAAGAATTCTAGTACTTTAAAAACAACGGTAGCTACAAGAGTTTGCTGTAGATCTGTACGAGAAACTGCCGGATAATCTATTTATTGTGGCACTTACATTATTCCATTTATGTAGGGAATGTTGCGCAGAAAAGCGATAGAATTACTTATGTTTGCGGTAAAGAGTCCCAAAACTTCCCATTATCGTCAACTCTTGTTAATCTCCGAGGATAATTATTATCTTCAAACCAGGTTGCAACAACGCCTGACGTACTCTCCGTTCAACCGTAAAATTTGTCTTATTCCTCACCAACAGTTCCATTCTCCCCTTTTACGCATAGACCAGAAAACTACTCGAGAAGGTGAAATATTAGAGTACACCTATGTTCAAAAAGAAAAAAAAACGAAAAACAGGAAGTAACAATGGCTAACATTTAAAGCGAGTGCAGAGGCTAACTGTTTACATATTCGGTTGGACATAGTAAAGTGGGTATTGTAAAAATGTAAGATTATCATTTAGTGCCTGCTACTTAACTGAAGGTTATCGATGACTCCTACCGCTGGTGAAGGAATTGTAGTCGCAACTATCTAATAGATAGGAAAGCACTAGTTAAGAGTTATTTCTTGGTGCAATCAAATCACATTCGTACTTTTCATTTCACTTGATGCCAGCAGATGTAAATCATTAAGTTAAGCAATGAAGATGATGGTAGTTACAAGTGTACTGATCTGTCAAGCTGCTTTGTGCCTTACGAGAGCCGAAGGTTAGTTTATTTTGTTAAACTACTAAAGATCTTGGATGTTCAAGTACTTGTTCAAATAAAGCTTGAAGTTTTCAATGGAATGACAGAAGTGATCACATGGTTTCGTGAAACAAAGAGGGAGAGAACACACACAAAAAAAAGAGTGACGCGGAACAAACAAAGAATACAGTTACATTACAAATAACTTACTAAAGTGGATGACTCTCTTCACAAAAGGCGTTTTGCCTCATCATTGTAAGACTCCTTACCCTTTGCATTGCAGATGAAAGAAATGAATACCAGATGTCAAAAGCATTTAAGAAATCCATTGAATTACAAACTGCTTACGTTTACCGCAAAAATATGCCCAAGAGACATCATTACTCTGGTAAGGAATGAAGTAATGTAAAATTCAATGTTTTCCTGAAAACAAAGTTTTTCGGTTTTTTGATGAGACAGAACATGATTATTTCTCTGTGTTCTCGTGACAGTGATCCTTGGAAGTAGTGGTAAAACTGTTATTGGGCCGCTCGTTCCTGAGTCTGACGATGAACAGATCCACAGAGTTCAGGGATTTGTGCTTAGACCGGACGCTATTAAGATCGGTTAGTGTTCAAAACACTGCTGTTAAGACCACTTTGCGATTAAAAGGCAAATCAGAAAAACGTTAGGATCAAAGGGGATCACTAAGTACGCAAAAGTATCTTACATGTAGCGCGAATAATAGTGAGAGACCAATTAAGAAATGAATTTCGTTTGGTTTCTTATTGGCTTAGGGGATGGCGCAAGTTTTCAAAAACAATCACAGCGTGTTGTTAAGCAAAAGCTATGCGACCCCAAGTTTTTCAGGACTAGTTTAGTCTGTAGATTGCGTTATTCAGCATCTGGGCTAATGTATTCATGTATTTCGAAGACATCTTGACGAAGTTAGTCCGTTCTGTCCTCCTTTCCCTGTTTCAAGGTAACCCCATAGAATTTGCAGGAACAGCTCTAAGCACCCATAATCGCTATCGCAAGTATCACCACGACCCTGCACTAAGGTGGTCTGACAGGCTGTCATCGCAGGCCAATAAGATAGCTTATCAAATGGTGCAGCAATTCAGTAAGGATAACTCCAAGAGATTTGAGGTGCCTGATGAGGAGAGTCTGGGAGAGAATGTGGAACGATTCCTCGGTGTACAATTTGGATGCGACTCGACTGCAGCCATGAAAGCAACCGATAACTGGTACCAGGTACGCTTCATGCGTGTTGAATAATAGCGTTACTGTACCTTCAGGGGACACCCTCGAGTTTGAGGAAAAGAAAAGTGTCCCCGCAATGGAGGTAACAGATATAAGGGATATTTCGGATTAAGGGAGAGTGCTCCAGATTGAAGAGCATGATAATACTTGAGTATAGCGAGATACAGATTGGTGCCTTAAAGTTCACCTAGGTGATCATTTCGGTTAAGTGACTCATCGGTTTTTTCTTTCTCCTCAGCAAAGCAAAAACTATAGTTATAACTACCCTCACATTCAAGATGGAACTAGCTCCTTCACCCAGTTGGTTTGGAAAGGCTCACAGTCCTTTGGAATGGGCTGTGCTCTACGTAAGGGACTCTTGGCCAATGACATTTTTGTGGTGGCTCTGTACAGTCCCCCTGGGAACGTAGGAGACGGCGTGTCTCTGAATGTCTTGAGGCCTGGGATCAAAGAGGCGGCCAAGCCTGATGTCTACTCAAATATATTCCGTAGAAGCAAAATGGCTAAGAGTAGAGACAACATAAACCGTAAAAAACTAGATTAATTCTCATTTGAGTGTCGAAAATAATCCAGACCTGCATCAGTTTTACTTTGTTTTTGCTTTTTGACTAGTCTAGAAACTCACGCCAATCAATTGAAAACCTACGCGAATCAAGATTAGGTCGCTGAGGCTTTCCTGCTCTTCAGGCAGTTTGCATATTTTTACTTTGAGTTGCCGTTGATTCTTAGCAATAATTTACTTTGTTTGATTGGCCGCTATGATTGCTTTGGTTTTATGAAAATTGAAGGGAAATTTTCTTGCCTCGTGAGTACGATTTAGCTTCGAGATAATCTGGTTTGTTTGGGCTCTTTTCCTTAATAATAATGAGTGTTTACAGACATCAATTTTTTTTACCAGAAAAAGTATCCAAATGAGTTCTTTTGTATGTTGTTTTGCAAATCTAAAATTGTCGGGAAAATAGGGTGGCTATAAATTTATATTGACTGCAGTTAGTTAAATTATGTATTTACGCCGTGCCTATCATGCCTGTTTGTGATTCTGTGGTAAAGAGTTGCGCCAAAATCACAAAAGTTTCGTAATCACCCAACAAGTTAAGCTTGCCGTTAAAAATACTTTTTAAGAACAGTACCCAGCTAATTAAATGTACTTAAGAGCCCTACACGCGGATGACTACCCTATGCTGTTCTGTGACTAACTGGTTATTTCACATCTTCAAAGGACAATTTATGCCTGTCAATCGGGTCTGAGAGGGGATCATCATGTTGCTGAAAGGTGTGTGGGTGAACAAGAAAGACAAATAAAATTGTGTTATTGGTTCTATTAAATTAATCTATGCTACATTTCCATTGATTTATCTACGTTTCGGCAGGGTGGGGCTCCAGGCGAGTGTGATTGAGTACGCATGCGTCTCCAGCCCTTAGAATTGATACTAAACCGGAAGTAACTAAAGAAGGAACTAAACCGGAAAAAGAAGGCGTCATGAAAAACATTCAATGATGGGCGAATAATTTTCTTTTCATCCTAAAGAAAGTGTTTTCGTTTTAATGCAAGCAAGATATTTCTAAAATCTGATAAACAACAGAGAAGAGAATTGCTTCTCCATGGCCGGCTATACTGTTCGACCAGCCGGCAAAACACCTGTTGGACACCAGTTGGGTAAGATGAATACAAAACCGTTTATGCTTGTCCTGGATGACATTAAGCCAAAGCATGCGAACAGATATGACTTTTATCTAGGCACAGGTCTTCTTGTGTCATGGAAAACTAAAGAGTGAATGTCAAATGTGAGTTTGAGCAGGAAATTCTCTATTGATCTTTATCTCTCTGATTGCCTACGAATGGTCAAAGAGGCGATGAGGCCACAACATTCGTCACTTCTTAAAATAGCATCAGTGCTCATGGCTGACCGAAGAGAATATAATCCTAACATGGTAGAGAGTCTTGCATCGAGTATCCAAACTCAGACGAGCAGATGCTGATTGCACAACACCACTATTGTCGTCAAAGTAACATTTCAGCCAGTGGTGGTGATGGCCGCTCAGATCAACACTATGATAACGAGTTTGATAGGACTGGTGATGTTTTGTTTATTTACTGCTGAGATATATCATTATTACGGTCATCATATTAAACTCGTCATTTCGAGAAGATCATTGGGGAAGGGGAAAAAATTGACGCATTTGGAAGTCAAATTCCCTAAGAACTACCATGCTACCGGAAGGCTCTTTCTCCCTCATAGCAAGATCGTGGAGCCGTTTGAAATTTGGTTTACGTCAGAATTGAACAGAAGTCGAATTGACTACTATTATGGTATGTGACCAAGTAACATGTTCATATGGCACTTAAACTATCTACTCACTCTTCAGTTTAACTTCTGAGTCTAATAGGGAAACTGTTGATGAAAAGTGTATTGTTGTACATCTGCTTCATTTTTTTTTCTTCTTAGAGGGTAAGTTGGGCGGGCGCGGGTCCACGCCTGAAGTGAAGTTTTACCTCACCAGCCTATTCACAGGGATACCGGTCTGTACTCGTCCGTGCATCCAGAAATCTGCCTTTGATATTTTGGACGATCAGAGAGCTTTTGTGCCTTTCCCTGAACGTATCTCAGAGATAGCTTCAAATACAACGAACGAAAAATTGCGCGCTGAATTGTACCATTACACATCGACTTAAGTCACGTAAAGTTGACTTCATGCGTGAATGTTTCTTGGACAATATTTTATGTAGAACTAAAATTCCCAGGCCTTCCATACCAATAGACAGTGAATGGTACAAAAGAAGCAGCATAAACAACACCTTTAAAAGGAAAATCACTCCCTTCCATGAATCACTGTCAGCAGCAAAAGTGGGTTTTAGCTTCTGATATTGTTGATGTTGTTTTTATATCTTAAAGGTACGGACAAGACATACCAAAGGGCAGACCTTGGCGAATATGGGGTGACATTCAAAGTAGTACCAATGTACACAGAGAAAGATGGTAATTATATCGGCTGCTGGAAACTTGAGGGACACAAAGGATGGCCAATTATACCACAGCCTATTGTGCCCAACATGACCTACTTTACGGTTAGACACTTCAACACCAATATTAAACAAATGCCATACCTGTTATTCAGCACTCGATTCTCTCATAGCTCGAACCTAAGATTTCCTCGAACAATTTTGTAAATTATTCCTCAATGTAGAGGTTTAAATATGTTACCAGAGTCGTAATAGTGACGTGAAATATGTTATCCTTCGAAAGTTTACGAAAAAAGATAACAGCTTAGATTTGACATTGCTACATTAAACTGAGCTCCTGGTTTGACTCCAATCGCCATACTGAACTATTTTACCTCGACATTTGGCTAATCTCTTTTCTCCCACAGTACGCAGGTGAGGAAGTATACATGGGCACGCCTGTCACAAAGTGGGAATACCGCTACCTTGTCTTTGACATGCTGAATACTCACACTCTCCTGGTCAGCAAGATCGGACCAGTCCATCCCGTGCGGTATGAGATGAAGGGTTATGACAGTCTTATGGCGAGTTATTATGATAGTTACGTGTTGGAATATATTTCATTTGAAGAATGGAAACCTGACTTGGACAAGTTTGAGTTACCAAAAGGTCAGTTGTCGTTTAGATCCTGTAGTCCATGATGCAATTATTTCTATTTTACAAAACTCTTTTAAAGCTCATTTGTTCTTACCTTCTCTGTTTCCTTTTTTTCACTGTTTTGTGTTGTCGGTTAAGACACTTCAATCCCATAGCCCCTCTCTCCTCCTTGATAATAAACGGTTACCAGTGATGCTTTAAGAAAACAATGCGAAATACTGGGATGGGTGAAAGGGGGGGGGGGGGGGTTAAGGGGAGAGACTGTTATTCTTAAAAGGATAACTACAAAGGAGAAGCAGTTTTCGGTAGTAGTGTGTTAGTGAGAGCGTAACTCAACCTCAATCAACCCCAGCCATGTATTCCAGCGCTATGCGTGAGTAGTTGTGTTTTACAGGAGTGTCCTTTTTTTTCAGATCAATGGTGCTACAACTGGTCACACTCTTTAGACTCTCATTTTGTATCAAATCCCATGGGTGAGTTTATGTCTTATGGAGAGGACCTGGTGGATGAGATGTACCACATTTACAACCAAAATCACGGCAAGGTCCATGATTCTAAACATGAACACGTGAAGAGAAAGCACATTTTCCGCCATAATATGAGGTAAGAGTGAGGGTAAAGCGAATTTTCAGGATCACTCACGAGGAGGAGTAAAGCAAAATCAAGTGAATCACAGATTACCATGTGAAATTTATATGTACTCACTATGTCACCTGTGTTTAATGGTACCTTTTTCCTTAAGCAGGAATGGCGGCGTGATAGTTTTGAAAGGCGATTGTCTCCGTCGTGCTCGTAATTCTTTGCTTTCCAGAGAATAACAGGATTCTGGCCTTCACTTAATGTCTATGCTAAGACATAGAATTTTACTTCCTTTAGGTACATCAGGTCAATCAACCGACAGAATCTTACTTACAAACTGGCTCCGAACCATTTGGTCGATCTTACCGACGAAGAATACGACGGTCATGGAGGTATGACAGAGGGCAGCTTGGTCAACTTATTAAATCATTATTGTGGTAAAGCTCAAATTAGGTTACTTCTACAGAAAAATAACACATCTGGTTGATACAATCCATATTTCAGCAGTTGGATTCAAGTTTCCAGTCTCGGATGAACTTAAGGTGTAAAATAATTTTGATATGCGTAAGGATATACCCCTTCATTTGAAATATGTTAAAGTCAGGATGACGACAAATGCAATGAAATGTAACTAATTGGTGATTTGTGATGTGGAATATAAGGATATGGGAGATTAATGATGTTTACTTTGATTTTACTTCGTTTATTTGCAGGGGCTAACGAGGATAACAGTACGGAACATGAAGGAAGTGTTCATTTGGAGGAACATGAAGCCCATAGTAATATGATGTCGGCACCAAAGGCTATTGAGATTCCAGATGAGTTAGACTGGAGAGATTTCGGTAGGAGATGATTCATTCTAGGGTTCTTAGTCCATTTGTCAAGACGCTTACATATTTACATCCCAAATTAGCACCTTACACATATTGGGACTATTGTCAGATTTCAAACAAATCGTCTCATTTTGGGCGGTTTCGTCTAATTTGGGATGGTTCCTTTTTTTTCGCATGGTTGCGCCTCATTTACAAACAGAGGTGATCACTAAATGTATGATCTTGGCGTACATAACGAACCCAACTCGATTTGCAATAATTTGTTTGCAGGGGCAGTAACACCAGTTCGAGGTCAGGGGATATGCGGTTCGTGTTACGCCTTAGGAGCCGTAGGAACCGTGGAGGGAGCATATTTCCTGAAGGTATGAATCATCCAGCTTAAATAATTTTGTCCTTGTCTTTTGTTCCTTCATATCAATCATAGCGCCTAACCCTTGGGTTTTGCGGTCGTTCTTAGACAGGTCGACTTGTTGAACTGTCTGCACAGCAGATAGTTGATTGCTCCTGGGGGTCTGGGAACCACGGCTGCAGGGGAGGCTGGTATAACAAAGCACTCAGCTGGATTTATCTGCATGGAGTAGCGAAGGCAAAGAATTATGGGCCTTACTTAGCTCAGGTAAGGGCTTTATTCGCGTGTTATTGCGCATTCTGTTTGAGTATCGTAAAAACAAATCCAAGTTAACTATCACTACTTATAGGCAAACTGAGTCACCCAAATCAACACAGAGCATTAATCATTATTGAAAAGATAAAAAAAGTACCAAACGTTGGAGAACGCTTTATTGTTCATTATAGGAAGGAACGTGTGAGACCATTGGACTCAAAGAGCGAATAAAAATCGACGCCTTTGCCTTTGTCCCTAAGTACAATAACAGTGCACTTAAAAGAGCCATTGCCAAGTATGGTCCCGTCTGTGTGTCTATCAATCAAAAGCCCCTCTCTCTGAAGTTCTACAGCTGGGGAGTCTACGATAACCCCGAGTGTGGTAGGTACCTGCTATATTTGTTTTTCAAACTCGTGCTTGTTGTTGAAAACAATCAAAATAAAACAACCATAACTAGCCTGATATTGAGCTCAATTTTTGTTTTGCATGTCGGCAATTGCATGCTACTCAGAATGACAAAAGAGAGTGGCAGGGTTCTCATGTTCATGCGCTTCATAGGTCTCACGCTGTCATAAATCGGCAGGTTACGTTATCCATGAAATCTGACTTTTCCTGGTCAATTTGCGCTTTAGATAACAGCTCTACACTCCACACGGTTCTGGTGGTTGGTTATGGCAAAGAGAATGGAGTTCCTTATTGGTTGGTAAAAAATTCGTGGTCCGCGACCTGGGGAATTGACGGTTACATCAAAATGGCATGGAAAGGCAACATTTGTGGAGTTACAAAGAACCCTGTGGTGGCCTTAATGAATCACACTACTTTTCAGTTTCCTGTCAAGGAGAAAATTAACAATGCTTATCCATTGAATCCAAAGTTTATGGGAAGGAAAATACATGCACAACATAGGCCAGGTAAAAACAGAAATGGATCTAAAAGCGAATCGATCTCGTCTGGTGATAAAAATAGTAAGGGAAGAGTTACTTCAATTTCAACTAAGGACTACTTGGGGCACTCAGACGGGAAAAACGGAGAAAAGTCTTTTGGAGTTAAGGAATCTACAAGAACTTTAAACAGAAATAAATCAAATAAAGTAATTGTAAATAAAGATGAGAAAGGTAAGGTCGAGATGAACCAAAAAATTTACTCAAGGAAGGAGGAATTAGCAACGAAAAGCGTCGATGAAAGCATAGGAAAGACTTCCAATATGGATATTCCACCACCTACCTCTAAGACTTTCGACTTTTATTTAAAAAGAGATGGAAATAATGCGGATAGAACGCCACAGTTAACTAAATCACCAGAAATTTTAGCAAATGATTTTTACGAGGGTTACAATGTTTACAGGAGCGAGAATTTTTCACCCTATGGTAATCGTGACTCAGCTTATAAATATCCAGAGGAGAATAATGCGTGGACTCAAACGAGAACTTATACCGAGCCAAGATATTTCATCCCCTCATATGATTACACTGCCTATGATTCGTATCCTGTGGAGTTAGCGGCACCTTATGATAAAAATTATGAATTGAGGAGCGATAAAGATCCATGGTATCCTAGCGACAGGAATCAGTGGTATCTTAGCAACAACGCCGCTCCAGGAATTGATACTCAAAACAATAAAATACAAAATGATTTAGAGACTTTACCATCTCAAATGGTAGCAAAAACACATGAACCAGTAAATGCAAAAGATCATGGCATGATTAGAACAGAAGCACAATCAACTGATTCAACGAGAACTACAACAGTTACAGCAACAACAGCAACGAAGAGAACGAAGCAGCTTAATAGCCGACCACGCCCAGCCAAACCTCCCAGACATTACACCGGTAAATTACAAGAAATTTATGAAAATCTTGAAAGAGTCATTGCATCCAGCCTGAAGAAGAACACAAGACTTCGCGGTTAACAATAGTGTTTTTACGCCTGCTACGACAGATGAAATTAGGTTTTACGTATCCTGATAAATTCTACCCTCCTTTCTTTCCACGTGTTTCTTTTGCAGTATCTTTAAATATTCTCCTTCCTCGCTCATCTCTTCTTCCTGTTGGGTCATTATTGGCTCTTTCATACTTTTTTTTTCTTACGGAGCTAATACTTCGAGTGCTTCTTCAAGTTAAAAATAGTTTCGCAAGTCACCACTTAAGAAATAAAATGTTTTGAATTGCTCCTTTGGCAACAACATGAATGATAACAAACAAATCAGTCCAAAAAATAATGGCTGAAAATTATTAGATGTTGATTGAGCAGTATATTGCTGCCTACACGTGGAAGAATTGACCAGGCTGCAAATGGCGGCTAGAAATACTCGATTTATTGTTGCCTCTCAAATATGTATAATAGAGGAAGAAATGGGAAAATAAAATTACTTTATTTTTGTTTATACAGTATTCTTCGTATTCTCATAGGTTACCTTTTTCAAGGGAACTTGCATCGTTCACGTATCGAGTTTAGTTCCTCTACATTCAGGCCGTCGTCATCCTCAATGCTGCCTTACGTTTGACCCTGATCAAAGTCGTGAACATGTTGGGGTAAAAGGCAAACGGTGTTCGGACAAAATAGTCCGAATGTTACCATCCGAATCAAAATAACCAAAAAAAATGAACAAACAAACAAGAAACAAAACGAAAAGAAAGCAAAGAACATGTTTAATGTGTTATAACTACTAACGTAGGTTTGATGCGTAGTTGTCGGTCTAACCGGTGACTTGGTTAAAACATGAAGTAGAATGGCTTTGTTCCTTAATTAAGACAGTGATTGGCAGATTGGATTGGCTCATCGCCATGTGACCTGATCTTCAAAACTCAGTTGGTATCTGACTTAATCTGGTGTAAACTCCCTTTTTTTTGTTGAATGAATGTTACTGGGCACTGGTCTAGTACTCCCCTTCCGAAATGTCATTCATATCACCGGTGCCTTACCCTTTTACACCGACTATTTAGTAATTCTCCTTACTGTCTTCCGTACAATTCTTATAATGTTAGTTCTAAGTATTTGGTATTGGATCAACTAATAATCCCTTAATTTATATTTGTCTTCATTCTCATCACTTGTCTGCTTGATATCGTGTTGATGTTGTAGGGAGAAATTCTGCTTTGGTCACTTTGGGAGTTAGAGGTTAATACTCTCCCAAGTCTTTTACCATTTAGAAAAAGACGCTCTTTAAGAAATATTAAAATATTTCTTCTATATGTGGATGTGTAGACGTGTTATTAAGACCGCGTGCAGTGTAAATAACTGAATTACAGGTCTGGCCAGCAAAGAATAAAAAAGCAATAAAAAAATATATAGCTAAGGAAAAATTGATGGTATCAGGAACCAACAAGCATATAATGGCCAAACAATATCTGACCAATTCAGGTCAGGTTGAGTAATCTAGCCACTAAATTTGACGCTAAAAATATCTCAGGAATACTGTTCCGAGGCATTGTCAATTACATTATTGTGAAGTCCCCCGACACGTTTTAGTGTTTGCGTGTCAAGATGTTCCGTTCACAACTTCCGCAGAAGACTGGGGCTGCTACGTCAGCCTCGAGCTCTCACGTGACTACAACTCTTAGAGCAAAATGGCGGCTGAGATGACTTGATACCAACTTGTTTTGTTTGTTTCCAAAAAGCTATGGTCGTTTCTTCATTGTAAGAAATACAAAGAAACAGGATATCGCCTCCGAGGGTAGTTCTAAAACCACACCATGTACGAGAACGCTAAGACTCAAAATATGTTCCTGACACGGGCTCTGGAGAAGATACTAAACGACAAGGAGACGAAAAAATCCTATCACCAGCAGCTTAAAAAAGCGTGCGAGGTTGCGTTAGGTAAGGAATGACAGATGAAAATGCTGTCCAATTAGAAAGTCTTGTTTCAGCGTGAAGCTTACTTCGTAGATTCGACGTAACCTTGTCTGCGGAACAAGTTTACTAAACTTGTTTTCTAACGTGTGTGGTTAAATTTAAGTGCAAGAAATTCTTCTTTCGAAAACAAGTGTGAGTAACGGATGCCACATCTGCAGTTGAATTTTTCTTGTCCCATGTCAATTTTCCAATTAACGAGAGATCTGTCGGGTCATCCTGTGTAAACTGACGTTTTCGTTAGACGTAAAGAGCGATCTTATCACCCTTAGTCGATCAACGTTCATTTAATGGTAGGAAGGTGAATTTCTCGTCACGCTCTGATCGTTCTTGGTTCTAGAAATACACATATTTTGCTTAAATATGTTTAGTCCACCTAACTTTGCAATTAATTTTCATATGAGAAAATTTTAAAATGAATTGCTTACTTTGGGGAGGCTAAATCTTTGCTAAAATGCAGACGGAACAGAAAAAGATCAATATCGATCGTAAAGGCTACCTATTATTGCTGTTTGAAATGTACTTGTCATCAATTTTAAAGCAAATAACGTTCAGTTCACTATTACCGTTTAATTTGAATCAGGTGAAATTATGTTATTTTGTGCGTATGGTCAGGTGGACATTCATGCAAATTATGATAGACGAAAAATATTTTCTTATAATTATTTTACACTGAGCATTAGACTCATGATTATGAAGTGAGATAATGGGTGACAGAAAAAGCTTAATATGTTGAATCTTAACACCAATTTTAAAGATCATGAGTAGAAAAATTTTGGTTTTGGTGTTTTTCCAAAGGGGCTGTATATAAACTTAGTAACAAAGAAAGATGTTGATTGAATTACATGTTGCATTAGATGGTTTTCTATCACTGTGTAGACAATTTCCTCTTCATGGCAAGTACAAGTGGAAAGGAATAAACAGCCAGAATCTTAATTTTCACAGATCTCTCTATGTTTGTACATAATGTCTGTGGGAGATAATGAAAATGGTTTCTTGAGAAAATTAGAACTGGATACAACATTTCTGATATTTAGAGAGATATTTATGCTATTGATACTGATCTGTTCTGGTGTTGGTAAACCAGAGTTGATATTGAAAGCAAATGTATGTTCATTTTTAGAAGAGATTCACAAATCTCAAGGAGCTGTTATTGCTGATGAAAGGTAATATTTTTTTGTTATCGTGGAGAAACAAGCAAATAACTTTTGATCAGGGAACTTAAAAGGTTTGGTTTAAAGTGCCAATAAGTTATTTAGAAAATATTGAGGTGAATACAAAAGTTGAAAACAGCTGCTGTATGAATACAATATTGACCTTAAAAGTTAGAAGAAATATATTGTAGTTATTAATCACTAATCACAAAGATACTTCTTGAAACTCCTAGACTATGCTTTAATTTTCTGCAGCTTTATGACTACTCAAAATTTTTCTTTATATGGAAAAGTCAATTCACACTATATATACTGTATACAAATACTGCTGTGATCATACCAAAATAAGAAAAAACATTTATGTACAATGAGATCATCACCACATCACAGTCTAACCAATTTCAACTTAGACTCCAGTGCAGTGATAATTTGGCCACTGTACCTCTCACTTTGACTAGTGTGAGTTGTACCTAATTACCTGTTTAGTAATAAGCACAATTTTTTTGTGTTTGTGTACTCAGTGATGGGAGTCCATCATCAGCTCTACCTCCTCCTAAAGGAAAGCAGCCTTTCATTGAAGCAGACAAATATTTCCTTCCGTTTGAACTTGCCTGTAAATCAAAGTGTCCTCGCATTATTGTTGCATCTCTTGACTGTCTACAGGTATTGTCACCTTTACAGTATTTTGTGCACATTGCCTGTTAGTGGTTACTTGTCATTTTTTTGCTATAATCATTGCATAGGTTGAAACTAGTTAAAATTGATTCTGACTCTTGTCTTAAGGACACAATTCTATCACAAGCATACTGATTATCAAAATAAAAATAAATAGTCACCTAGAGCAAGGTTTTCCCGCATCATGAACCCTTTTCAGTGTGACAGCAATTTATCATCTAATGTGTTTTGGTCTCAATATGGAATATGTCAGGGATATATTATTTAAAAATAAACAGTCTTTTCTATATTCTTGATCTTTTTTTTTACCAGAAACTCATTGCCTATGGACATCTTGCTGGTGATATCCCAGACAGTACTGATCCTAACAAAAAGCTTTTGGACCGTATAGTGGAGACAATCTGTGGCTGTTTTGTTGGAGTTCAAACTGATGAAGGAGTCCAGCTTCAGATAATCAAGGTGAGAGTTGACTTACACACTTGTGTTTCATTCAAGATTTTTTGAAAACATTATTTTCTTGCAACTTAGATTAAGATACCTAGTTTTTATTGGCAAATCACAATCAAAGATATTCTGAAGTCAAAGTGTTCTTTGGAAGCCAAGTTTCTTGTGCTCACTATCTATAAGAATATTTGTATTAATTTGGGTATTTGCTATACAGCTATTCACTTATTGCTATGAAAACTGTGTTAAGCTTTAGCAGTGATTGGCCACTACATTCCATCTTGACTAACCTTTGACTAGAACAATTTTATGTTCTTGACAATGTACAAGTACTCTCATGCATATTATTTATTAATTTCCACTTTTAATTATGTAAACATGTGTTAACAAAAACTGTGTGCTATGTATTTTACCTGTAGGCTTTACTTACTGCTGTCACCTCCAACTCTTGTGAGGTTCACGAGGGCACCCTCCTTCTGGCTGTGAGAACTTGTTACAATATTTACTTGGCCAGCCGCAATCTTACGAACCAAAGAACAGCTCAGGCCACCCTTAGTCAGATGATAAGTGTAATCTTTCAAAGGATGGAGGCACAAGCGGTAAACAGAAATGATGAGTTGTTTACTGTGGAAGGAAACTAGCTATGAATACTAGCTATATATGTACCTTAAATTTTGAAACTGAGGATGAGTATTTCATTAAAATGTAAAGACTCAATGAAGAGTATAATCTGTGTTTAGGATGAGATGAAAGTGATTGGTATACATACATGTATGGTGCTGGATGCAGAAAGTCAGTTTTAGAGGTAGTTCATCCTCTTGGCTAGAATCACATTTACTTGTACTGTAGTAAATAATCTTGGTCAATAGATCCAAGAGGGATGGCAGGAATTAACAGTTAATTTTTTTGTGTGATTCCCCAGGCTTTATGGTCAAGGTTACCAGCAAATTTTTTTGGCTCAATTATTGATGAAGTATCTGGATTGGGACTGATTAGGGTTTAAATCTTTACCTTGAACTCATTAAATGTGTTACAAATAGTGTGTAATATCTCTTTATTTTTTTAAATTCTAGGCTGCTGAAGAAGAATTGAAAAATTCTCAGCCTGAAGAAGAGGGTGTTCAAACAGCTTCAACACCTACACCAACTGAAACAACAGATGAAAAAGAACTTGATAGACCCTCCACTGAGGCATCAAACTCACATGAGCATGAAACAGACTCTGTGGTGGAAGGTCAGGAACCAAAGAGTGCACACAGTGACATTAGTAGGATAGAGGGAGGGGTGGATAGACCTGACATTGATGTGGATGAAGGTGTTGATCTGCAGGGTAAGTTAATATTTTACGTTTTTAGTCAAATGACATTATACACTTTGTCAATGGCTGTGATCTATTAGAAATTTTTTTTATGACATTATAAGGGACAATGTTCGAGAGGAGTTTTTTATTACAACGTTCAAGCAATGATGTTTGAGAGGTGTGTTTTCTGTTTTCTGACTGTAATGAATTTTTTACTCTTCAGCTGATGATCAACTTGATGACAGTACTAAAGAATCTTCACCAAAGGGAAAAGAAGAGACAGAAGCATCCTCTAATCCTGAGGGGGGAGATGACAGTATAGTTGAGTCCACTGAGCAGCCAGGGGAGAGTAAAGAAGGAACAACGTTTGAAATGTGTGCTGGAAATGTCCCTCTGAACGGTATAGATGACCACACAGCAGAAGAAAAGCAGGATGAAAAAAGTGCTGATAATGCACCTGGTGATGGAGATGGAGATGGAGATTCTGTTAAGGTACTGTGCATGTATGGAATGAAATGACATATCTTCATAGTGGCTTACAAGGAGTAATAATTTGTTTATTTTTTGTCACTGAAAGAATTTATTTACTTTGCCTTTGTCAGGTTGAGGAACCAAGTCAGATTGAGTCAGAAAATCCATCAGGTATTTGAATTATTTATTGATTGGATAACTTTGCAATGTTTAGGGCAATATCAGAGAAGTTCAGAGCAGTTTGGTTCTGTAAGAACATTATTTTGTCATTTTGTTTGTTTGGTTGTTTTTTTTTTATACCTCCTATACATGTTGCAAAAACATTTTGCTTGGTTTTGATACTAGATCAGAGCATTCTATCAAATGGAGAAATCAGTGAAAGCAGTCCAGAAAAAACAAATCCAAATGGAATTTCACATGATGACCTTAATCCACCTCCAACACCAACTGAAACATCATCAACCATGTCGGATGAGCTGGGTGACACCCACAGTGAGTCAGGAACTGAGGCAGAAGGAAGTGCATCATCAACATCTCTTAACAGTCAAGCTGGTGGCCCTGTCAAGTTCTCCCATGTCTCTCAGAAAGATGCGTTTCTGGTGTTCAGGTCACTGTGTAAGCTTTCAATGAAACCGTTGTCAGATGCACCTTTAGATCCTAAGTAAGTGGCCATGGGCTTTTGTTGTTTTATTACTTTGTCCCTTATAAAGACATTTATTTATGACAAGTAGGGCATTACTGCTGCACATGTATCTGTAGCTTGTCTTGGTTTCTGTACTCTTCCTAGAAGGGGATGTTTGTCCTACTCAGGTAATTCTTTCTCTCCCCCCCCTCTTCTTCCTAAGCAATTTTTCAAGTCTCCCTTGGAGTTTTCTGGTACCCATGTTATACATGTACTCCTGCCCTGTAGGTTATTTGTCCACACCATTAGAAAACAGTAAGGAAGGTTTAAAGCTGGACTAAAACATCTTAAAAGTGGTTGCCAAGAGGCTGGTAGGGTGTTCTTCACAACAGGAGACCCAGCTCTTGGTAAGACACTTAACTCTCCCAGTGGTGCCTCTGTGATGTATTTTTTAAGTATTCTTAATCTATTTTGTCTTTTTTGTGTGTGTCTTTAGGTCTCATGAGCTGCGATCCAAGATTCTGTCCCTAGAGTTGATGTTGTCTTGTCTTCAGAATGCAGGCCCCGTGTTCTGTTCTCATGAGATGTTTGTAACAGCCATCAAACAGTACCTTTGTGTAGCTTTGTCCAAAAATGGTGTTTCTTCTGTTCCTGCTGTATTTGAACTTTCACTTGCCATCTTCTTAACTTTGCTGTCATCATTCAAGACACATCTCAAGATGCAAATAGAGGTTAAACTACTTTGAGTTTCTAAATATTAAATGAGGTTGTTAGAGTCTTTCTTCTCTTACATTTAAAGGGATTTTCCATAGGGGAGGGGGGGGGGAGGAGTTTCTATACTGGAGCATCTTACCTGTATTTGAGGAGGAGTATGCCAGGCAGATTTACCATAATTAAAGAAATGTTTTCCTTCACAAAAAGAGTTTACAATTACCCCAGGACACCCTTCCCCTTAGCTATGCACATATCATTGTCCCAGTTTTCGTATATCCTTTGGACAGTTTCTTCAATGCATTATTTTAGATTCATACTAATTTTGTTAAGATTTGATAAATGTTGGCTGGTTCTTTCATCAGTCTTACACTCTATCCATTTATCCAGTCTATACTTGTTGCATTCTTTTGTTTTTTTGAACTATTCTTTTTTCTTTAAAATTGCTTGAGTTGCGATCAGTAATGTACTGTCTGTCTTAATTGAAGGTGTTCTTTAAAGAGATCTTTCTGAATATCTTGGAGACATCAACAAGTTCATTTCAACACAAATGGATGGTGATGCAGGCTTTGACACGAATATGTTCAGGTGGGAATAAATTTGTTGCAGTGTGATGAAAGATTCAAGTCAAAATGATTTTAAACCAGTAAATCATTCTCATCTAGTTTTATTTGTATTTTTCTTTGTTCTGGAGATTTTATCATAATTTGTAAATGAAAGAAAAATACTATTAAACTTTTTGTGAAATAATTTTTAAATCCTATTTATCTTTTAGATGCTCAGTGTGTTGTTGATATTTACCTGAACTATGACTGTGACCTTTCATTGTCAAACATCTTTGAACGACTTACAAGTGACTTAGCCAAGATTGCTCAAGGAAGACAGGCTATAGCGTTAGCTGCTACTCCAGTAAGTTGGCTGCAAATATGACACACATTTTTGTTAGCTGCTAACCTTAATCGACTTTGATATCTATTCTTGTTTATTCATAACTGATTGAACCTTTTGTAGGAATACTTGGACAATAACTTGTGGATATTATGGTCACTGTCTCACAAGTGATATCCTTCAAATATCTATGGATACTCCAAGGGTTACTTACACTAAGCTTGGTGATATATTACCAGTGCGGTTTTCCTCAAAAGAAAATAATTAATTGGAAAGGGGAAAAGGAAATTTTGGGCTGACTGTAACATATTATCATAGTGGTGTAGTTAAGAGCCCAGGTACATTCCAACTGTTGAGTCTGTCTCCATAATTCCCAGGTATATTTCACCTCTCAAATTTTGATGCTCAACTACTGTATAGGAGAGATAAATGTGGCACAAATACCTTTTTGTACAATAGGTTGAGACACATGGAAAATGATAAGCACTTATTGAATAAAACACATGACAGCTGAATATGACCAACTTGGTGACCAATTTTTTTATAAAAGTTATTTGAACAATGGTGGTAATAGACAAGTGGTGTGTTTTATTTATTATCATTCTGTCTTAATTTTTTGCCATTGTTGTTTGCTATGCCCAGGTGCAAGAGAAAAGTATACGCCTGAAAGGTCTTGAATGTTTGGTGTCCATACTGAAGTGTATGGTGGAGTGGAGTAGAGAACTTTATCTCAACCCTCATTCTCATGTAGCTAACTCCTCAGGTGAATCCTTTATTCTTTAGTGATCAGGGTTTTATTTGCTAAACATCAGCAGTAGTTACATCTGAAATAATCCACATGCCAAGAAAAGATCTGGTCCAAAATGTCAACTACAGATGTAGATGCAGCCTCTCTTCTTGGAGAAATGAAACCCTGTTAATAGACAAGTGGTGCTCATAGTAATTCACAGACAGTTGTTTGAGTAGGATTATACTGTAGCCCAAACCCAGAGTATACAACTGCAATTGTGTGTGATTTTGTAATCAAAATTCAAAATTACCTTTTGTACACCCAAACAACTCCTGGAAAGGGGAGATTTTATGAGATTACTATTTAGAGGTTGTTGGTGTAATTTGATATTTAGTTTTTATTAGTGTCATTTGTTATCTCAAAAGCAGACAGGTGTATTATTGTCTTTTTAATCTATCACAACAAAGTGGAAAATTCATTATTATGGTGGCTTCTTCTTCTTCTTAATTTGTGCCCCTTCACTCTTTTTATAACAGATACACCAACCCCAGGGGTGAAGAGAAAAGTTAGCATGACCGAAGCTGACTCTGAGGAGGCTGGAGGAGATCGCAGCAGTTTAACAGAAGATCGCATCAGCCTTGGTTCAGAGCTCAAATCATTTGGTGGAAGTCAGGGTTCTCTGAACTCCACATCAACAACTTCAACTGTAGCACCAGACAATCCTGAACAGTTCGAGTCTCTGAAACAAATGAAAGGGCTGATGGAGCAAGGAATTGAAAAGTAAATAACTATAATGCTAGAGTTGTGAGATGTAGTTTAGAAAAAGTACTTGTGTCCTTTTGACCTCAATTTTAGGTTACAGTGCAAACACAACAGGAGAACTCCATTCATTAACAGATAGTATTAAAATTGCAACCATGTTACATTCTTACAGGTCAAACCTTGCTCAGCATGTGTTTTTTTGTTTGATGTGTTTGTTTGTGTTTTTTGCACCAGATTTAATAAGAATCCCAAAAAAGGAGTAAAATATCTCCAAGAAAATGGTCTCCTTGGAGGTACACCAGAGGAGGTTGCTGAGTTTTTACACACTGATGAAAGATTAGACAAAGTATGTGGAAATAATTTTTTGCTGTGATGAGTGACTGTTGATTTTTTTGAAATTTTTATATTTTTTTCATGTTATACTATTATTGGTGAAAAAAGGAAGCAAAAAAACTTTCACTAACAAAAATTTATTGGTTTTTTTTTTCAGACACAAGTAGGAGAACTCATTGGAGACAATGATCTGTATGTTCTATATGTTTATTCATTCATACTGTCTTTTATTTTTGTTATGATTCTGTGGGTTCTCTTGTATCTAGTTTTGCTATTCTAACAGGTTCTTCCGTCAGTTTTATGAAGTTTACAATTTTTTTGATAGTGCCTTTTTTGTTGGTGTATTACAATCTCTGTATTGATATTTTTTTATTTTCTCTTTAGTTTTAGCAGAGAAGTGATGTACAGTTACATTGACAAGTTAGATTTTACAGACCTGGACTTTGTATCAGCGCTACGCTTGTTTCTTAATAATTTCCGACTTCCAGGAGAAGCTCAGAAAATTGATCGTCTCATGGAGAAGTTTGCCAGTAGATATCTAGAAACAAACCCAACGTAAGGACATGTATTGCATGTTCTTATTCAATTTTCTCAGTGTTCATTGAGTAATATGCATGAAGAGATAAACAGTCTCACTTACAGTAGGCATCCCATTTTCTGCTGAGTTTAATTGGCTGAGCATGGAACTGTTGTGAGGAAGGGCAGGGGTTTAGCTACATAGCGAACCAATCCTAGACACTGAATTCTTCTTTGATAGGGACAATAAACTTTAGGCCTCATTTTCTGCATCTTGAAGGTTGTATGGTCTGCAAGGGATGTTAACCCTTTTACTCCCAAGATCTCATTAGTAATTACTTCCTACTGTCTCCCTTACAATTCTTACGATCTTACTTCAGAGAATTGGTTATTAAATCAACTTATAATCTACTAAGTGATATTTTTCATTCTCATCACTTGTTTGCTTGACATCATATTGATGTCGTTATGAGAAATTCTGTCTTGGTCACTCATGGGGGTTGCTGGTAAAGGGTTAAGGAACCCATGCAGTAATCACAAATAGTAGGGCATAGAGTTGCTGGTGCTGTGGTCTGCCCTTTTTGTCACACTGGGTGGGCTAGGGGGAAGTAAATACCTGCAGATATTGTGTCACAAAGGTACTCAAAAATCCATTGGTAAATTAGGTATTCAGAAAAGTATTTAAAATCTAGTCAATAGAAGAATCAGTACTGACTTTTCCTTTGTCTTCTAACATAAAATTTTATTTTTTTCTTTAGAAACACAGTATTTGCAAGTGCAGATGCAGCCTATGTTTTGGCATACTCCATCATAATGTTAACAACAGATCTTCATAATTCCCAGGTATATGCCATAAGTGCTTATTAATTGTTTCACAATGCATTGGGAAGAAAGGTTTCCAATTTTTTTTTCAGGTTATATCCAAAAACAGCCAGATATGGAGGGAAGATTTCTAGGGAGGGGGGAGGGAGGGTGTCCAAAAAAATGTTTATAATAAATATTTATAACGGTGGGGCTGGGGGCCAGGGGCCAAAGCCTTAGAAAAAAACTGTGTCCCAATTAGCATAACAGGGATAAGAGAGGCAAAAAGGATCATCTCTGTTGGAGACACAACCATAGTACATCTAGATGTAAAAATGAGGCTGAAAAGAAACTAGATCTGCTTGTGTTTCAAACTCTTGGTGGTCTTGCAAATAGCTGTGGAGCCTGCAGAATAGGTGTAATTTTCTCTTTTTGCATATTTTGAGCGAACAGAGATGAGCACTAGGCTTGTACTTTGCGCTTACGTCATGCTTGCCTCTATTTACCTCAAATATGCAAAAACATTTTTTGCCTGTTCTGCAGATTAATGGCTATGTAGCAATTTAGCCAACAGAGTTCATAATATGTCTGTAAAGGATGAATACTCCACAGTTCAATTATACTTTTTCCATGCATGTTCTGGTATGAGATCATCCTTCACAGTGCTATTGAGAACTCACCCACCTACAGGAAAGTTTGATACCAAAGTTGGTTTTATTAATCAATATAACTGTTTACCTTTGATTAACAGGTTAAAAGGAAAATAACTAAAGAACAGTACATCACAATGAACAAAGGAATCAATGATAGCAAGGACTTACCACAAGAGTATCTGGAGTCAATTTTTGATGAGATATCTCAGAATGAAATAAAAATGAGAAATGCACCCAAGACTGTCAATAAATATAGCACCATCTGTAAGTAATACTCCTCTTTGATTTACAAGGAATAAGAAGTTAAAATTTATAAGAGAGAGTGCCAAATTTACACGATTGATCATCAACATGTATGTGTAGATTCAGTGATTAGTCCCTGGCCTGTATCAAGGGTTTGCTAATACATTGTTAACTGTCATAAATTGTTGTTACTTAGATCTTCAAAACGAAAAGCAAAGACGACTTTTGTACTATCAAGAAATGGAACAAATGGCTCAAACAGCCAAGATTCTGATTGAAGGAGTCAGTCAAATTCAAACAACATTCACATCTGCAACTCATGTAGAACACATTAGACCAATGTTCAAGGTATGTGCAAGGCTCCACATTCGTTAAACTTAATCCTGTGTTGTCTCTCACTTTTGATAGATATTTGAGAACTTTCGCTGTATTGGTACAATGTATATATGTTTATGAGTAGGCTTTTGCTACACTCTCTTTTATAGGTTACTTGGAGTCCTTTCTTAGCAGCCTTTAGCGTGAACTTGCAGCATTCCGATGACCAGCAAGTTGCATCACTGTGTCTGGATGGCATACGCTGTGCAATCAGGATTGCATGCATATTTGGAATGCAGGTAATTATTGGTCTAGGTAGTTAGTATGTTTGGTTTCGTGCACCTGAAGTTTTGAGATATTCGTTAGTTTTTGGGAATTCTATGAAACTCATTTGTTCAAATGTAAATTTTGCTTAACCCGTTTTATGGCTCCTCATGTCTGTTTGAAATTTCAAATATTTACTATATTTTTCAAATTACAGCTTGAACGAGACAGTTTTGTCCAGGCTCTGTCACGGTTCACACTGCTCACGGCAACAGCTGGATTACATGAAATAAAAACAAAGAACATTGACACAATCAAGACACTTATAACTGTGGCACAGACAGATGGCAACTACCTTGGACGGGCGTGGCATGAGGTAGACGTAGTGTATTTAGCTCAAGATTACACCTCTAGTGCAGCCCCACAGGACGATTTAATTTCAGTTTTTTGGTCTAATCACAGAGCGTAGAGAAGTAAATCAAATTCAATTCCAAAGTTATCTCTATACCTTACATATGTTCCTCAATTGGATTTTCAGTGTGATTTTGTTTCAGCAATTCTGCCTAAACAGGTTCCATTAAGAACAAATCTGAAAAGTGCACCATACTCACCAGGCTCTAAAACATTTGTTTACAGATACTGAAGTGTATATCTCAACTGGAGCTGGCTCAATTGATTGGAACAGGAGTGAAAACAATGGGACCAGGCACAGGACCAGGGCAGGGAAGCTCTACTCCTGTGTCAATAAGCTCTACTGGACTTGTTCCCTCAAACGGTTAGCACACGTCTTTAAATATCATTCAACCTCAGAGGGATGTTGCACTACGAAAAATCTTCTTACCTTCGTGTTTCCAAGTGCAAATACTGTGTATATCAATTTTGGTTTTTTTTTTCTTATAATTTCATTGTGCAATACATTTACGTCTTTGTTTTTGCAGATCCTAAGAAAATCGCGTACATCCAGGAAACAGTTGGAGAGACAAGTTCGCAGAGTGTTGTTGTTGCAGTGGACAGGTGATTACCAGTGCACGCTTTCGTATATTGCAGATCCGATTTTCTTGTTAATCATTTTTAATTTTATTTATTTTTCCAATGGCTGTGTAGAATATTCACTGGATCAACAAAATTAGATGGAGATGCGATTGGTAAGTGGGATGTTCTTCAACAAATGACATTACGGTTTCTACTTAACTTTTCAAGTTCTTCGTTTTTGAATGACAACTTAAGGTACTGCTTCCACTGCACCAAGAAAAGCAAAAAAATTAACCAACCGAAACAAAAAAACTTACTTAAATTTTAGTTATAACTGAACCACGATAAAAGGAAATTACTGTTCAACCTCAGTGCTAAAGATATGTCATGCAGGTCTTTACACTTGCTTTTAAAAGACAGTAAAAACAATTCTATATTTTCTACCTGTTTCGACTGTTTTACGAGTGTGATTTTATCAAGTTAGAGAAATGTAAGGCGTTTACACTTACGGCTACGTGTTTATTGTCCACAGTCGACTTTGTTCAAGCGTTAGGAACCATTTCATCTGAGGAACTCGCGAATCCAACCCATCCAAGAATGTTCAGTTTACAGAAAATTGTTGAAATTTCTTATTACAACATGAACAGGATCAGGCTGGAGTGGTCCAGGATCTGGGCCGTGCTTGGGGATCATTTTAACAAGGTTACAATCATTACCCAGTGTTGAGTTAAATTATGTCTTTTATCTTTTTCGATGGGTTAGTTAGGGCGGAAGATTTGGTTTTAGAAGATCTGATTTGAAAGCGATACGTGACGAAAAACAATAGCCATGTTAATGAGCGTGGTGCACTGTATTGGGAAAGTTTAAGTTGTACGGATGACTGAACTTGAAAATTATCACCATCTTGTTTATGCTTTTGAAGTATTGCAGCAATTTTATTGACTGAGAGTGGTGAACTCTAACCATTTGCGTCATCCTGGTTGGCTTATTCTTGGTTATTACTAATAAGGATTTTGTAGTGCTGAAGTTTAAGGGAGGTTTACCTTTTAACATTCAAGTTCACCTGTTTTTATTCCAGTGTGGTTGTAATCCAAATGAGGATGTAGCATTTTTCTGTGTGGACTCTTTACGGCAACTTGCTATGAAGTTCTTGGAGAAAGGCGAGTTACCTAACTTCCGGTTTCAGAAGGATTTCCTCAGACCCTTCGAATATATCGTCAAGAAAAATAGGTTGGTATACGAGTCTTCTTAACCTCTCCGTTTTCCAACGACTTACTTTCTTCATCTAGTGTTTTGCCTTAGACTGTGCCATTTCCAAAAACACGTTTATTAATTTCTTTTCTATCAATTACAGATCAGCAACTATTCGCGACATGGTCGTCCGCTGTGTGGCGCAAATGGTGCACTCGCAGGCTCACAATATTAAGTCTGGATGGAAGAATGTTTTCTCCGTCTTCCATCTGGCTGCTTCCGATGAAGATGAAGGAATTGTAGAACTTGCTTTTCAAACGACTGGTATGTTGATATTTGCGGGCATCCTTTGTTGTTGTTTTTGTAACTCTTTGACGTAATGGGCCATAGGTAATGGGCAATCACAAAGTGCAAATTATTCGTTTTAGTGTTTCATATTCAGCAACAGTTTTCCATCAGCTTCTCCTATCTGCTTGCTTCTTTCAGCCACTATATTCGAGAAATACTTTTCCGCCACCATCGATTCCTTTCAAGACGCTGTCAAGTGTTTATCAGAGTTTGCTTGTAATGCTTCGTTTCCTGACACCAGCATGGAGGCCATTAGACTCATTAGAAACTGCGCTAAACATGTGTATGAGAATCCAGAGGTGAGGCTGACTCTGTTATTTTGAAAATTATTTGCAGTTCGTTTCTATCTCCATCCTTAACGTTTCTTATTGTGTTTCTCTTTCTTAATGAGCTAATTTTTTTGTAGTTTCTCTCAACTTAAAGGTAGTTTGCTCATTACAAGAATTACTCAAAAGATTATGATTCAACCTCTATATTTATGCTACAGTAGCTCTCCTGAGTCATTTATAATATTTAACGCTCGCTAAGATTCCTATGACGGAATTGTGTGATAGGGTTATATAAACTTATATTGGCTAGTTGGTAAGCTCACAGACAAGATGCATGCTTTGTAACGCTCATTAAGACGATTACTTTGTGTGACATCGTCCCAGATGTTCAGAGAACACAGTGGTGAGGATGGTGGAGTCCCGGAGGCCGATAAGGTGTGGGTCAAAGGCTGGTTCCCAGTGCTCTTTGAGCTGTCGTGTATCATCAACAGATGTAAGCTGGATGTACGAACAAGGTTAGTTCCACATTGACCTTTTTTGCCGCTAATCTCTGTGATACTCTTGCGGTTTTTACCTTTTTCTGACTCCGAGAGTATGTATGCAGTTACGTTGCGTTCTCATTAGTCATTGTGATGTTTACTTTTGCTCGAACTAGTCTTTGCTCACTCGTAATAAACTCTCGCACATAGAGATGCCCTTCAAACCCTTCACATTTCCTTGCAGGGGTTTAACTGTGATGTTTGAGATAATGAAGAGTTATGGTCACACCTTCCAGCGGCACTGGTGGAGAGATGAGTTCAGAGTTGTGTTCAGGATTTTTGATAACATGAAGTTACCAGATCAACAAGTAGATTGGTCGGAGGTATGCAGAAAAATTCGTTATCAAACTCAGTGGGAATATTTATTACCTTTGACGTGGCTTGTGTGCAGACTTTGCACTCACCTAACCTTTTAGATCAAGGTTATGATATTGTTGGTATTGCTTCAATTAGAATTGATGCTGATCATGAGCTATTTATTTGTTGTTAATACAGAAATCAGAGTGGATGACCACAACTTGTAATCACGCTCTGTATGCTGTAGTTGATGTGTTTACACAGTACTTTCCGGTGTTGTCTGATGTTCTTTTGGAGGACATGTTCTCTCATCTGCTGTGGTGCGTCCAACAAGGTCAGTTTCAATTGTCTGCATTGTTTTCTTAATTCTAACATTCGAAGCTGCTTTCAGACTCATCAATCCCGCGAAAATCAGGACAAATCAAGTGATACCAATGAGAAAGAGGAGGTCAACTGTACGTGTTACTTACCAGGTTGTTTTGATCGGATAACTGGATATTAGTGACGGTCTTTTTGTATCAGTGAGGGCAAAAGGTCAATGTCAAGAAATGATTCGCTTTTCAGTTTCACTTGACTTACCCTTTGTTTTCTTTTTATGTCTATAAGATCTCGAGCCCTTACTTCCTACTTGGATATCAGAACAATCAGAACAAAGGATTTCCCCCATCACTTCATTCTCTCAGATCTTTCCATTCAATGATTAATCATATACTTTGCCCTCTCAGATAACGAGCAGCTGGCGAGGTCTGGTACCAACTGCCTTGAGAATCTTGTAGTCTCCAACGGTTCCCAGTTCTCCTCTGAGATGTGGGAAAGGGCGTGTCGCTGTATTCAGGATATCTTCACCTCCACTGTACCCAGTGAGCTTCTCACATGGCGACCGGAAGTGCCAGCTGTCGGGGTATCCACCCCAGATTCCACACCTGCTCAAAGTCCTACACTGACTCCAGACAAAGGGCATGCAAGTGACAATGTAAGATTCAACCCAGAAAGTAATAACATGATATAATGGTAAAATTGCAGAGCATTGATATTGTTCCTTTTAACGACCTCTTTACTTGAATGCAGTTATTTAAAAATTGCAGATTTTGTGCTTTTTTAAGAAAACTTGATCACAACTGCTGAACAGAAGTTTTTTTTTTATCAATTTGATCGTGTCGTCAGTCGTTTCTGTTTAATTTTCTCGCCAGAAATCAGTGGACATGGAAGTTAACCCGGAGCACGACATTGTACCTCGCCTAGAAGAAGGTTTGTGTGTCTCCATTGTAAACTAACTTACTAATCCAATCATATGCTTAGAGAAACGTTAGCTGAGTTATTTGCTGAACTCGGAACCTCACAGTTCCTCTACCCACCCAGGAGTTTAAATGAGCACCAGTTAACTTTGTTAGGGAGTTTCCTTCGATGGACCAGCGTCCCGTGGAGGAGGATTAGCAGCACTCTTAGGAACATAGAAGTCGGGGCAAGCTTCAGTAGTACTTCGCCACTAGGCTCATGAGACATGAACTTTTTGCGACACGTGGGTCGTCACTACTTCGGAACAAATCATAGCAAACAACTTAAAGCAAGCTTACCTGTACTGCGCACCGGATAAAATGAACGAGAGAGACTCTGAGTGCTATTTTTTCTCTTTTGAATCATTGGTTTGATCTTTGTACCTTAGACGAAGATGAATGGGGAGTGGACACACTTAAAGACGAGAAGCCTGTTGACACTGCTGAAGATGCCCTGCAGGCTCAAGAATCAAGAACCTCGGAAGAGAACACACGTCCTGTAGTTGAGGTGGAGCATTCAGATGAATCTTTCCGCCACTGTGAGTACTGCGTGTTCGTTTAATCAATTATATGCTGAGAGCAACTCTCTCCTGTATGTTGAAACTAAACTGCAATTTCATTAGTGTTCTTAAACCAGCTCCGCATCTTAAGCCATCTGTTATGCCAAACATAAATTGATGGCGACTTGGTTACTGGAGTTTTCCTGCGCATCAGATAGTTTACCTGCTTGTCTATTATTTGAATTATTATGGAATCGTACTGCTATTCTCTTAACGTTGGTTTTGTGATTTGTTTTACCACACTGCTTAGAAATCCGCTCTATGGTTCCTGTTGAAAACGGACCACAAAACGAGCTACGTCTTCCTTCACCTCCGACTAAGCGCAAAATTTATCATTTGTCTTGTTCTATTTGCTCAAACGAAGTTTTTGACCTTGCGGATCCTAGCAGTATGCAGGAAGCTTGATAGAGATGAATCTAATGATGGCATGGCTCATTATTAGAGAAGTTCTCTGTAGTTTAGTGCCGAGTTAGGGCACTGGTGTGTAAATTTAAAGGTGTAAGGGCTAACATCTCTTTTTTCACCTTGTTACTTTTTCAGATGATACTCCAGAGCAGTTGTTCACATCGCTGTTGATTCGTTGTGTTGTCCAACTCGAACTTATTCAAACTATTGACAATATTGTGTTTTTTCCTGCAACAAGTCGAAGAGAAGACGCTGAAAATCTAGCTTTTGCTAAGGTGGGGATTACAGTAAATAATATTTTTTGTTAACAATGTATGGAATTTAGGCTATTAATAATTGTGAGAAGCAGTAACGATTGCGTGATTAGCGAGAAATGGCACAGAAGAAAGTTCCTTCAGTTCAAGTAGGCTGACCCATGGAAAAATCGTCCTCACAGTTTTGTCCGACATGCACACAGTTTTTAAAATGATTAAGGAAGCCAAGGAACCTTTTAACTAAGAAACAACAAGATAAAGAGAAGGAGTTGTTGGGGCAACTAGCAGGAAGAAGTCTGTTCTTTTACCTTTTTTATATTTCATTTTGCCTTGGGTTCTACATATATGGATCACAGCAAACGTCAAAATGTGATCTGAAACTACGCAGATACACGTGAAGTAAATCTGCTTGAAAAACTTACACCAATAGATTTACAGAATGATAATTGTCTTCTTTTGCAGTCTGGGGATGTGTCCCGTGAGCGTGTTGGTAGTACAACCAGTGCAGTTAGCGAGTCGCCCTTCGGTGAAGGGATGTACCCATTTCTTAGTTCCCCTCAATTGCTGCTCTTTGTTGATTGTTTAGAACAATCACACAAGTTTGCCAAGTCCTTCAACGCCAATAACGAGCAGAGAACCTTTCTTATGAAGGCCGGTAAGTTCAGGAAAGCCACATCTGTTTACTGTTTCAACCCTCGAACTCCTATAACTGATATAAATGTACTTTCTCCTTGCACTTTCAATACACTATCCATCAAACAGGTGACGAAAATAGACACTCATTAGCCAGAGGGTGTTACATTACTTTTGTCAACAAACTTCGGGCGCTCTTCGAAATTCTAGTCTCACTAGTCCGCACAAGTGTGTTAGTGGCTAAAATACGCACGACTTCCATTCCGCGTAGTCTGTAAGTTCCTCGTTTAGACAACGGTTAGTGCAAGCATTTGTTGACTGCCAAACCACTCGAACCAGTCTGTAACTTTCACTTAACATTAACATCTCTGAAGCAATTGAGAGGGAAGTGCATGGCAGCTAGAAGGAAGAATTACTGCTCTGATCTTGGGAGCTAAAGAGCGAACTCCATACATGTCTCAATGTAAGTCTTTCCTCTCTAATCTCATTTCTGAGTGACATGTCTTACGAGTGACGAGGACAATTTTTATTGGCAGGTTTCAAAGGTAAATCAAAGCCCAACCTGTTGAAACAGGAGACCTCTAGTTTGGCTTGTATGCTCAGGATTCTGTTCAAAATGTACGCAGACGAAGAAAGAAGAGATTCCTGGCCAGAAATTGAAAACCGATCAGCCAGGTAAGAAATTCAGTGTGTCTTTGTTTGCCACTAATTAACATTGTCTGAAATCATGTTAAGTAAAAGTTACATTTTCTCTGCGGAACGAAGAAAACCATGGTAGCCTAAACTTTGTAATTTTGCCACTTAACGGATGCTAAATTCGGTGCTCTTTTTTATTTCTTTGTGTAAGTAAATGTTAAGTTTTTCAATTGTTAGTCGCCAGGTTGAAGAAGAGTCTATTTATGTGTCATATCTATTTTCTTTCAGAATATGTAAAGATGCGTTGCAGTATTTTGTTTCGCTGGAATCCTCCAGTCATCGTGATGCTTGGACATCCCTGCTATTGCTACTATTGAATAGGCTTCTCAAGCTTGATGACAACAGGGTAAGATACAGCAGAACTTTTCTCTTTATACAAAACCCATAGTCAATGTGAAATCAAACAGTCTGGTCGCAAGTCCTCCTCTAATACCTTCTCACTTCAGCTTCTATTCACGTGCGTGTTCCTTTTGTGGGAGTTAATAGAATTAAAAGCAGTTCGACAGGTTTTTTGAATAGCGGTGAGAAAGGTTTTGGACAAATGGCGTTACAGGCGCCCTTTGTCATGCTTGTTTAGAATTCGAAGGGAACAGTAATACCAACTACCGACGGCTTCAACGATGCAGCACAGTAATATTCTCTATTTAAAAATCCTCCTGATACCTTAAAAGGAAAACGGTCCATCTAATTACTATTAAAGAGATAAACTGAACCACTAAATATAGCTATTTTTTTTTTGTTTATAATTCCATGTATCCATTTTTGTTGTTTCGTATTTTGGCAGTTCAAGGTGCATATTTCTAATTATTATCAAACCCTGTGCGACATGCTGTTGGTGGATAATAAACTGGAGTTGCGCTCTGTGCTCAGACGAGTGTTTCAGCGAGTGGGTACCACGTTTGGAAGCTTTGCAAAAAGCACCTCATCAAGCTGACAAGTTTCTTTTTTTGTTTGTTTTTTAGTCCCCTCCTTAGTGAGCCATCCATACGTAGATATTTAATTCTGAGTCATTGTCAATGATTGGTTTTAGAATAACCATGCAAATACCTGGGAAACTGTATCCATTGTACTAGGTAATTTTTAAGAACTGGTTATTTTTTTTGTCTGTAGACGAATTTTCGCGCACGATTTGAGAGTAACTCCGAATCTCGAGTACTCCAAATCGAGAGCTTTGTAAGAGGTTTGTCCCAAGTTTTTTGCGAAATTTGCGCGGCTTGACAGCAGCAAAGTAAGCATTTATGAGAGCGGGTACTACATGTATGTGAGTATGCAACTATATGGGAAGGAAAGAGGAAAAGCAACCAATGATCAAACCTGTCGTGTACCTGTCACAATGTGTTTTACTGACCGTGATTCATAGGTGATGTAGACACTCAAGTTTTTAAAGGTGAATGTGGGAATTATTGTTAAGCGATATTTAATGTTGGTAGATATACAAAAGAATTCTTCTTACCTAGATTGTAAGTTAGCGAATTTCGAATTTTCTTTAGTGGAAATTAACACCTACTAGATTTGCAGCTGTTAATTTCTTGTCGTTTGATCTCCGATCATTTTTTGTTTGTGGTTTTTGATGAATGTCTCAGCAACAGTTCATCTTTAAGGTGGAATTTTGTGACTTGGCATTTTCGTTTTGTATGATAATTTCAGATTCTCATTAATAGAGTAATGACAGAAGTGAAAATGTGAAGCTCTAAACAGTTAAATGACTTGTAAAGGAAGTGAAATGAAGAGAAACTGAAATGACAAATTTCGTAATAAAAGAAAATATTATAAAACGATTCTCGTATTGTGTTTAATCTCTTTAGGATGGTCCTCTCATATCCTCTTTACCAAGAGATATTTATTGGACATTGAAAATATTATTATTTTTTATAAGCTAATTGGTCCTTTCTCAAAAAGACATGGCTCCGTCCCTCTAAAACCTCAAAAACAAATTCAGGAATAATTTATAGCGTATCAAAAAGCGTCTAATTAGCCTTCTGTTTGGTGCTAATTCACAGTCCTTATGGGTCGCGAAAAATCCCTCCTGAATATTAAAACTGAAAAAAATTGTGCGTGAACAAATCGGACCGTACAGATAAATCAACAGCGCATCGACGAATAACATCTGATAGATTTGATTTCTTTACACTAATTACTTAATTGGGGTCTAGGAGAAGGGGAGAGTCCCGGATTTGTCCAAACCCAGGGATGTTCAAGAATGTGCCAGTTTCTCTCTTTCCTCGAAATTTTTGGTCAGAATTGGTCCGCTACTGCAATAGCGAATTGTCGCGTACGCAGAGTTTGCTGGCCTATAAGCTACTTCTACTAAACTGTTGAACTTTTTCATCGGAACAAAGGTTAGTTGAAGATATTTCATTCTCTATCTTCAGTTTTTTGAACTTAATTGCTAACTCTAAAAAGACTTCCTACACGATGCATTTCGTTAGAAGCGTTTCTGCATCTCTTTCGCTCCCTCTCCATGAAAGTCAGTTTTATTCTCAAATTTATAAGGTAAAATTCCGTCAAATGAAGGTGAGAAATATCAACAATGAAAAAGCCTCGATACATTCAAACTCATCTCTACTAGCCTCTTATGCAAATTTCCTTTGAACCTCGTTTTCGAGATTTCCTCAGTTAGACACAACTTTATGGCACGTGGAAATTTAGCTGCTTTTTTTACATTTTACGATTCTTCGTTGTCTGAACTGCTTCACCTCTCAGGATATTGAACGTCTAAATGGAGACAGAGGCATTATTAGGATGCCTCCCATGGACTGAAAACCCACTACAAAGTTTTTTTTTAAGAACAAAACACAAGGTAAGACCGAGAAGTTGTTGAAACTTGCGCTGTATGAAGTTGAGAGTTTGAGACATTGCGCTTGGCGGCACTTTCAAACCAAGTCAAACCATGCAAGGTAGATCAAGATCAATTCTTGGTGAAAGATTTAAAGTTGTAGAGCAGAAAACGCCCGTATGGATTTGGTTTGTTGGGTTTTTTCCTATCGATTTAGAGATGAACGCTTAAATTCTCAAACCGGAAGAATTAAGAATCTTAAACTGTTATTTTGGTCTTCTTAGATGCACCGCCGTAAAGATGGATGCATACAAAGGACATGAGTGGACAGAAAGGAACTGCGCTATGGTAAGCGACACCTTCCATTTTCTCAGGCTCTTAATGTGTACATGTGGCTGCTTTTTGTAAGACAGTGTATTGATATTTGCGCAAAATACAAATGGATCTAACATGCCAAAAATATCTTGTCAAGGTGACGGGTTTCCTTTGTAGGCCATTTGAAAGATTTCAAAGTAGTGTAGAAAGAATTTGAAAATCCTGCACAGGAAAATGTTTTCAAAAGGCCACGATCACTTTTGTAACTGTTCTGTCATTTGGGAAAATCGCAAAAATAAAGTATGTTAAGGAAGCATTTCTATATTTGAAATTTTTCTCTCGATCGTCAACCAGCCCTGAATCTTAACTGTTCAAGCTTATGATTTGTTGTTTGGGAGTAAAAGGAAAATACCGGTGAGTCATAAAAATGTTTTAGCCGTTTCGAGCTTTTTTGACGAATCTTAGATATTCTGTGCTACTTCTCTAATCCAAGGAGTAATCATATCATTCATGGGAAAGAAAACAATGAGAGAAGATTTCTTTATTTACATAAGATGAGATTACGCCAGAAAAATGCGCCACCGATAAAGAATGATCGGAATGTTAACAAAGGTTTTGGTGAGATTGAAGAATTTTGTTGAAAACTAGTGGTACATCTCTGAGACTTCCATTTTTTCCCCAAAAAAATATGAAATTATCTTCCTTGTTGGATGTCAATAAGAGTAAAAATTTTGGAGGAAGTTTGTGACAGTGAAGCGTAGGAGTAAGTGTGTGCCATCCACTCTCGTTGATATACAACTTCGAATATTCGTAGTACACGCTTTGTTCGCACATTTTTGGTTCGAGGTGAAGACCGATTTTTAGGGCATTTTGAGCGACGTCATTAATTACCTTTAAATTTTTAAAACTCGTAAGTTTCAGTGTTATGAATGTTTGCAGTTATTACACGTACGAATTTTCATCGACGAGAAACGATCTCTTGTAGAAGTCAGTAGATTTCAATTTTAAACACTAGAAATTCAGTGTTGGAAACTGTACGATACGTTAATTATTCTTAATTTGATTGACATTTATAAGCGATTTCGTTTATCTATACATAAGTAGAGCGATGTATATATTGTGGGAGGAAAAAGACAAATAAACTACCAGTTCATCCCTACAGACCTGTTTCGTGGTTGCCCACTCATCAGGAGATTTAATGATGAGTGGGCAAAAACGAAACAGGTCTGTAGGGATGAACTGGTAGTTTATTTGTCTTTTTCCTCCCTCAATATGTACATCGCTCTACTCCGATGTATTGAGCACCGTTTTACGTAAGTCAAAATTTTACACTGTAACTAAACAAGTATGTATGCGGCACGTGTCTTATCGCCCCATATATGGCATTGTTCCACGTGCTTCAGTACAACGGGACGTTTAGTGTGTTTCCTTAGAATAAGCCGAGAGTTGTGAGTGGGAGTTAACCGAAGCGTTGTAGTAAAATCGTTAAATCGAGTTAATAAACCGTGAGTTAATAAGGAAGCATGGTACAGCTTTTTCGCGTTTTCGACTCAGAATTTTTTCGATTCATTTGCAGAATTTTTGTCGAACGCACTGAAATATTTTAAACAGCAATGTTTTTTTTGCGCAAACATGAATACATTGCTGTCAAGAAAAATCTGAAAGAGAATCTTTGAATTCATAAGGGAAATAATTATAATGACCTTAGGCAGGTTGGGTTAAATGTCATGAACTCTTGGCTTTGAATATATCACGCTGAACGAAAGTGTTTTCTTTTAGTGACCATCAACTCTGAACAAAACCTATTTTTCGTATCACCTAAATCGCTTTTATATCACGCATTTTGGAAAATTTTCTTTCTATTCCCTGAAGATGCCGTAGACCGGCGAAGGCTTAGAATGAAAAGGAAATACAGAAGCTCATGGTCTCAATCGATAAGTCCATTTAATCAACATGCTACTGAGGAACAACTTCAAACATTTTCTAAACAAAACATTCAGAAAGGCAGAGAAATGTTGATATTTGTAACAGTTTTGTTGTAAGTTTAGTTTTTTCGTATTTTAACAATTACGTTTGTGTTCTCTTGCAGTTCATTTAACATCTCTTGCTGAAGCCGATCACAAGCAAGGAGAGAAAGACGAAAAGATCGAAACGGTTGAACAAGAAAGACAGTTGAAAATTAATTTTAGAGGTAAAACATGTTACTAAGCAAAGCCAAGTTCGTTTTAAGGCTAGTTTATTTTCTGCTTTCGAGACAGATTCACAATTTCGTACTGAATTTTAAAAGAAAGAAGTTTTGGATTTTAGAAACTGATTACGTGAGTAGATTAGAAATCATTTGGCAAGAAACAAAACATTCGAATGCAACAGTTTCGGCTGAGTTTAATAGAGAGAACAAAATCGTAGCTAGATATTTTTTCTACAGCTTGTAAGGACATTGTAGAATTAATATTTATCTATGGTGATAAGTATTTTGTTGAATTTCTTGTTTGATACTTTCTCTTCGAAATTTTCACTGCAAAATTCCAGAATTTCTTATAGGTTGAATTTATCAGACTTATTATATTATTACTCAGTTAAGTTCAGCAATTTGCTTGTGACAGTCTTTTGGTGCGAATTTTTCACTTGAAAATTTAAATTTTCCAACTTATGAAATGTCATGAAATTTCATTTATTTCTGTGATCAGACAGAATAATGTTATCTATGCTTATCAACTGTTGTAAACACTTTCACTAATTATATAAGAGTTGTATCAATAAAAAAACTTACAAACAAATAAATGTTGTATTTCCACTTTATTGTCTTATTTTGACTGTACAAATGGTAAAAAAATAACTCCGCTTTTAAAAGGGCCTGGAAACTAGTCAGAATATAGGCTATCTCTTTTATTTTTTTTTGCATATGGAGGGTTGCCGAGAGGAAAAAAAATTCTGCGAATTTGAACAACCTCTGGTGTAAAATAAAAGAGCCATTTTCCCATCAAAAGACTTAGTATATTTTTTAATCAACATCAGACATCATTCAAAAGAGCAGACTTTTTTTTTCCATGAACAAAAATTTCCCGTCATCGGATATTTATTTAGTTGGCCCTTTTAAAAGTGCGAATTACGTACTCGATGCTTTCAAACGAAACATTTGCTCTCATGCACGCGATTTCTTCTGTAACCGGTTTATCCAAGGAGAGGGTCCGAAATACTTTATTTCAATCAACAGATTTGTTTAATCTTCTGGCATCATCTTTAAGTTCAAACCTGAAAGATAAAGAAATGTTTTAAAGACATATTTTCGGGCCTTGTCTATAAGCTAAGCGCTCTAGTAGAATACATCCATTTACTTCCTACTTGCAGTGCACAACCGGCTGAATTATCTATAACCTAAATTAAGTGTATCAGGGGCTCGTTTTAGGAGAAATAAATGTTTTAAAAATCAAAGAGATCATAAACAAAGCTTTTAACACCACGGCGTAGAGACTTAAGTCCTAAAAGTGTGAGCAGTTTCAAAGCTATTTTCCCTGAAGTACAAAATGTTTCTGCGATAGGTAAGGCTTTGTTGAAGTTCAAAAATACCTATATTTAGCAGTTTTGAAAATCAAAATCAAATTTCATCTCCTCACAAGAAACTAGCGACGAGATGACACAACCATAGCATGTCCTTACATTTATTTTTTGTCACATTTCAGTCGGAAATAATTCTAACTACACCAAAAATTGCTTCTCTCTAATTTCTCTGATCCGTAAAATGATATTTCATCCAACGTTTGCTTCAGTGAATTACAAATATCTCACTACTCACCGTGACCTTCTCAACATTTTGGTAGAGCCGAAGATGTTTCTTCGAAGCGACTCGAAGCACTTTTCAAGGGAGTCTCGTGAAACCAAAACCAAAATAATCAGCCAATAAACGGCCAATCAGAGAAAAGAGATTATCACAAGGAGCCAATGAGAGATCAAAGTGAAAACGAGTAAACTGCCTGAAGCGCGGGAAAACGTGTGTAACCAGGGCGTGGTTTGTTTGAGGTTTGCGTCTTATTGATTGAGAGGGTAATGCGAGTTTTTTTTTCTTGACCAAATCACAGATCGTTCAATAGCACAACCACTACAATCCCGGATTTTCTTTTAATGCCTAGTACAAAATTACGGTATCCTAAGTAAGGTTTGCGCGCAGGCCCATACTGACCCACACTATCGTTAAACAAAGCCGTAGTCCAAAAGGCAATCTATTGTTTCGCTATTGTTTTTTTTATTCAGTTTTCTTTTATCTAGTATACTGTATGCTTGATAAACTTGGGGCTGTGTGGAAATCTTACCTTAATCTATCGTAAAATATTAAGGTGGCTAGTCATAGTCTAAACCTTTTTGTGTCTTACCTCCTGAATCATGTGTACGCCGAGTTGATTAATAATTGTTACTGTCACTTTAGATCGCTTTAGATTCGAGATGCACATGAGGTCAAAGATCGTCACCTTTTCATTTGTTTTGTCGTGACAAAATCATAAAAATATAAAAGTGGATTGGATTCATCAACATCTTAAGATGTCTTTGGACTTCTGGATTTTTCGTTGTCGAGTGAAAATGAATATATTAGGGAGAAATTAATACAATAATTGGTGTTTAAGTTAATAAGCTAAACAGGTCAACAGTGAGACCAGTAAACCAACTTTTCACTTTCAACGAAGAAAGATTTTAGCACAGTTCTGTTCACTGATGATTGAGTTCATCCAGAACGTTTTTCATTTCCTTAGACTAACGCGTTTTTTATAATTTTTACCTTATTTACGTATTGCCTTGTAACAAGTGTCCAATTCAGAGATTAGTTCCTGACCTCACGAGTATCGCTAATTGCTCAAGATGGAATCATGGCGTCATCGTGGTACTTCCCCCCCTCCCCCCTTCAGCTTTTCTATCACCCACTCACAGTTTAGTATTGCCCGGCTTTCTTAAACCTGGACACACAAATTAATAAGTAATCTTAATACTGAATTTTTCTGCAATAACCCATAAGCAAAAATTTAATTTAGATAAGAAATAAATATTTCACAGAACTGAGATGAAATATGACGGCGATTCATTACTGCAGTAGCTAATGGCGCCCTGTTTTGCCTTTTTTAAGTAGACGAGACAGAGGGACGAGTTCACAAGATTGTCATAAACTTACATTAATGATATTAACGAGCAAAAGTGGAAAACCTAATATCTTACTTGAGCTCACGGATGTCCAGACTTTGGCCAGTTTGCAACTTGACTCAGTTGTCTTGTCGTTGCTGGTTGTAACCTTTGTACGGGGATAGTTACACACCAAACATAGAATCTTCTCTTTCCAGCAACATTTGAACTTCATCTGTCAGACATTATAACGTCTGGGATATGTTAGAAGACGATTTTTCTGACCAAAACTTTGATTTACGAAGAGCAACTTTAAAACCAAGCAGCCAAGCAAAGTTCTGCGCTCCGCGTGTGAATATCCCGAGTCGTCAATATGTGTAAAAATATATATTTGCAATTTAAATCAAACATTCCGCGGGCCTCGCCAATAGTATTCAAAATGATAATGTGGGGAGGGTGAGATTCATGCGGGTGAAAGTTTTTTTCTTATTGTCTTTTTCCTCTAAAGTTGATGAATTCTCAAAGAAAACTACTTCATCTTTCAAATACATAACCAGCCACGGTTTTCATCCTCTTCCTCTCTCCAACTGATTTGATCAATACTTTATTGGAGAAAAATTTGCTCACCTGGTACTGATGACTAAGAAACCATTGAGTTTCTGGGAAATTACATAAGGAATTTACAGCTTTCTTTTCGTTTACTGATCATTTGCTGGTCTGGACTATTTTTATGGGCTTTAGGAAGATTTAGAAAGATTTCAATTCAAATTGCCTTTTGAATTTGGCAGGTCGTGGAGTGAAATACGGCCCGTGAAATTGACCAATCATAACGCACGTCCGAACTAAGAGATACAATATATCAACATTTATTTTTATTACCTCTCTAGAATATAGAATTTCAAAACAAATGCTGGAATTTTCACTGACAAAAATGTCCTTCATGATCAACAGGATCAAAAGAAGAAGTAGTTTGTGCCATTTACTGAATTCACTCAATCCAGAAGACATTATGGAAAAATACAATTTATTAACAAAATTTGAAACATGAATGTCTATAAAAAAGTATAAAAAAACATATCAAACAAGCCTAATCAAATATACAACTAGGTTTGAAAACAGTGCATTTTCAAAGCAAAATATCAAAAATTATGTACCATTGAACTTGCACTAACTAATTTTCAAATTTTATCACTACAACCACTTAAGAAACAGAACTTTCAAATAAGCTGAGAAAAAGGATCTCATAAAATAAAAGATCAGAGCTCTTACATACAAAAGTGAAGAAGCTGTGGAAATAAAGCTAAAAAAATAACCCATGCTTCAGGAGTATAAAAAAGAGAAAAAAACTATTAAATACAAATCAATCATCAAATAAATAGCAATAAATAAAAAATCATTATACACAATGGTAATTCAATGGTTATGGTTCAATGTTTTGTTATACTTGAGGTATATAGTGCTGGTTTGGTACATGAAACTGAAACTATAGATACAACTAAGGGTTTCCACACAGGAGTAACAATGGACCCTCAAGTTTCATCACCAGGGTTAGAGGTTAAGATTGCCTTGAAAAGGACTGTTATCAGTGGTTGTGACTGTATTGGAGTCATAAGCAGAGAGTGCAAGTGACTCTAATAACTATCCTGGTTTGGGTTGTTGAAACAATGGGTGACAACATTTCATTACTGGCAACCAAAGTGTACAATACATAGTGGACTGAAAAGTTAGAGGCCCATCAGAACACACTAATCATACTGCACTAGCTATCACAGTTTTCTCCTCCATATCCTGGGAGGCAGACACAGCTTCCATTAAAGCAACTACCACCAACATTACTGCAATTAGTACAAGCAGGATTGTCTTCAACTTTAACAGCAAAGCTTAGTTCTATTGCTGGTGAATAGTTAATCCACAGCTCATCTCCTACGTCTTCATTCATAATCATGAACAATGGAATATCTTCAATGTCTCGTCCAATAGGAAGTTCCACCTCAGCATTGTGGTCCACACGAGAGAAAGTAATCTTCCTTTGGAACAGAATTCGCATGGACTGATAAGTATATAACAACTTACTCTGGCTGTTTTGGGCAAAAACTTCAAAAGCATCTGGTTCAACTTTCTTCGGTGCTCCTTGAAAATACGTTCCAGGAAACAAGATAAGAGGGTATTGAATCGATGGAAACTTCTCAAGATCAGTAGGTCCTATGAGAAAAAAAAAATGACAACAATAACGTTATGAAACTGACAATGAAACTTTCAAAATCTTGTTGTTTTTAGTATACCTCCACTTTTGGTCTAAGGTAAAAATTAGACAACCGCGTTTGTCACCCTGATGTAGCACAGAATGGCAACCAAACTGAATTCATTGTTAAGATTAGAGACTGTGAATCAACATGGCACTAAAGAAAGTAGTCAAACTAGTAAGTGCTCTAATAGTTCCTATTCAGTCTAACACAAATCACCATCAAACAGCCTGAAACTATTCACATTAATAAAGAGTTGTCTCACAGTAAAAGACATACCCTCCAAGTTCCTTTACAAAAGTCTTTGATTTTTCAATTTTCCATGCTGAAGCAACACCTGGCCACATTAAACTTTGTACCATTATTACAACAAATGATGCATGTTTTCACTAAGCGCTGCATAAAATGTCTTATTTGGTGTGATATTACATGTAAGTGAGTCTAATTTTCAGAGAAGGAGTCAATAAACATACTTGTAGTACAGTTTTCTCCTGAATAGCCAGTAATGCACTGACATTCTCCACTTATTCCACATGTACCAAAATAGCAGGTTTTGCTGCCACAGTCTGGACGTGAACAGTTAGGACATGGCTCTAACTTAAGGGCAAAGTTCATCTCCCAGTGAGGCCACTGTGTGTACCAGATCCCGGAGGAGCCACCGACATCTTGGTTATCAAACATCCACAGGTGGATATTTGAAATGTTTGTGATGTTATAGATGGAGGATGTAAATTTGTTTCCACTCAGAAAGCCAGCTGCAATTATGAAAAAGTTGGCAATTGACCCTTTAACTCCAAGATCAAATTTGTAATTCTCCTCACTGTCAACCATACAATTCTTATAATGTTACTTCAGAGAATTTAGTATTGGATCAATTAATTAACCCTCAATTGATAGTTTTCTTTAATGTCATCACTTATTTGGTTGATATTGTATTGATATTGTGAGGAGAAATTCTGTCCTGGTCACTCATGGGAGTTAAAGGGTTAACAGTTATATCTAGAGTTCTAACCATGCATCAAATAATTATTACTGTGACTCAATGGAGTTGGTTCAAAATCTCTACCTCTTTCCACCCTAACATCATTATGTTTATTTGCCTTGGTGTTCTCTGTGCAGTTCCTAGGGTGCTGACAAGGAGAATTTTTTTAAGCAATCAAGATTTTGTTTAGTTGGTGATCATTTCCTTTATTCTTGTGACCTTAATGTATGATTCTGGGCTGATACTGTAAGGAGAAATAACATGCTTTGTTCTGGATATAGCGATCATTATAGTGGTCTATAGAAGTGAGTATCCTAAAACTTACAAAACATCAAGTTATCATAAAATATCATCTATGAGTAATTCACATACACAAAGTTATTTACCTTTAAATGTGAGTGTTCTTCCTGGCATCACTATTACTGATCGATAGCGGAATTCTCTTTTCTCATCCCCAACTGTTTGACCCCATACATGGTATTCTTCTTCTTTAAGCCGAGTGTAATCATTTTGAGAGGAAGTTTGATAATCTAGTTCATTAAAGAGTACAATGGGGAATTCTGCAGATGGCTGAGGAATGTCTGCAAAAATCATCATCAGATAATTAGGGAACTTGCTGATGTCTATCAATATCTTTGATATTCTTCCAGTTTGGTATCAATTCCTTTAACACCAAATAACATTGTAATAAGAAGTACTGCTTCCCACTTCCTGGACTGGATATTGATCTAGTGGAACTCATTTTATAATAAACCTGACTGGAGTGAGGTCTGTATTGTGAACATAAAATATTGATCAGTGTTTGGTGAATCATAAGATAAAACAATTAAAGGACGTCCCGTTAAGTGTGATATAATTTCGCACAGATATGACGCCATATTACAACAAACATGTGACATCTTTTGGAGAGTAAATGCTAAAAAAAATAATGGAACTAGGACTTTCAGCGAAGTTTTAATAAACCAAACATGCTAAAAGTTAGTACCCGTTGGGAAGCAGAAAATTACTGATGAGTACAGAAGACAACTGCTCAATGGATTGCGTGATGAATGTGAATCAAAGTACTTAGTAATATATATATTGCAAGAGAACTTTACACTAGCTACAGCTCAGAAGATGGGGATTACGTGTATTACTGCATGAAAATGGAAAATCTTCCACTTACTGGACATGGAATATATATCATTTCCCTAAAATGAAGAATAGAGAAAGAACATTTCAGTTTGTTTCCACATATGTCAATGTGGGTAGTTGCAAAACTGTGAGAGAGTGAGTTCTGATTCCGCACCCACGCACCCAAGTTAATATAATGTAACATCATCATAACAAGTTAAATTCGCTGAATCAAAGGTGTTTTAGCCATCAGATATGAGGTTGCGTTTCTGATGTGTCTCGTCTGAGTGTAATCTAAAATGGAGTATCTGCATCGTCCTCAGCTGATCTGATATAGATCACAGGGGCAAGGAGCGATGATTTGATCTATCACCTCTAAGGTGAGACAGGGAAAGTGAAATGTATACCAAAAGAACCTTGGACGTACACAAATCAAAGGAAGGAGCGCTTTATACTCTGAAATGCAAGCTATTCGACAAATTTTAATTTTAATTAATGACAACTTTAAAAAGTTGTAGTGCAGTGTAATGGCACGTATAGAAATTTGTGATAGTTTGCAAAACAAATACAACCAAGAAAAACAGTCATAATAAAACATACCATAATATGAAGGCAAAATATCTCGAAGATGAACAGCACTAACATGAAAACAAGCCAGTTTTCACCCCTCATCTCTCACAGATATAGATTTCCCGCTGTTGTTTGGAAGATGATATGGCAACTACGGTATTTTTTCCTGACTGTCTTTGTCCGAGTAGTACTGGGATCAAGTCAGACGGCTATCCTAAGGTGGGGACCGTGATTTACGGTTCCTTTCCTCCTATGAAAACAACCAGACCTTTCCGAATCGCTTGGAATGACAGCAGAAAATTACAAACGAGCATACCTTTCGTAATAAATTATGAGGGCGCTTGGAACAAGCTGGAATTGGTGGGTCAGTGTAGCGGAAAGGGAGGGGAGATAGGGGAAGGCGACTGAAATTTAAAAATTTATTACTTTTTACAACTTTCATTGACATTCTAAGATCTTATTATCTTAGCTCTCCAATGTGCTTTTTTTCTTCTCCACGTTGATGATGTAAACGAAGATGGTGAATTTTTTTGGGTCTGCTTGTGTTTAAGTGAAAAAAGAAGTTATTCAGTGAAGGAGACAGGCATACTAACTTGGATAAAGAGAACTCCGAGTGCTCTCCACAGGAGTCGCACCTACGACCTTAATAAGGTTATTATAACCAATGTAACAAAATACAGCTTCTAGCGATTTTATCATCATAAAATTTTCTAGGAACACTGCCAAGGGATAAAAGCTCCGTCTAAAGAGTATATTCTGATAACGATATGACTGTTATCTCCGCCACTGAAGAGAATATCTGGAATCAAGACACTGACCATGTTGTCTCTACTTTGGCAGAGGTCAATTTTAACTGAAACATATCTCGCATTAGCAGGTCCCGAATTATTCTTACTTTTGGGTGATTAATTCAAACTCTGGTTTCCAATGTATTCAATATTGTTTTTATTCTTACTTACAAAAGATAACAGGTTCTTGTTGTAGTGTAACTAACTCTAACCACCAATTAAAAAGTTGTAAAGATCCACTGACTGTACATACAAACCTGTGCCAAGAAAAGGTGGTCGCCCGGTTTCGAGCACATGTTACGTTACGACGCTGGTTCAGAAAAAAGGGAGAATCAAAGGTAAAGGCCCAATAGGAAGAAATCAGAATATGAAATTACACTGTGGCTGTATACTCGGCAGCCGGAAAATTTTCGTACAATTTCGATTAAAAGGTTCTTTTAAACTTCTTGAGAATATCAGATGTTTGTATAGAAATTTCAACAGATTCCAAAGGCTATCTTGGTGTTTAAAATACTGAAACATCCAAACTTAGTTATGCTCTTCTCTCGACAGTGTTTCTTTATCCGATGATAACGATATTGTAACTGAGTTACTATTAGATAACTTAAAAAAGTCAATCAGCAACGTTGAACGACTTTAAATCTTAGTTTACAACTGTCATTTGTCCACAGATGAACAGTTTCTTCTCGAGTGTAGAAAGTATGATTGCCATGGGTTTCCACCACAACCTGACAAATCAGATGAAAACTAAAAGCAATGGCGACTTCATCATTTTCCGAACTTACAGGGTTACTAGAGTCTACTATGAGTTTTCAGTGACTCCTCATAATCACTTAACTAATTCTTAGTTCCAGACCTAAGCTCCCTTTCATTTAAATCCTAAGGGAGACTGGCGTCGAACATCAGTGGTGAGTCGTAGTTACTGCTACTCGTGCTCAGTTTCCTTTTTTCTCGCTCGTCTTTAATTTTGTGTTTCTTTTTCTTCTTCTTGTGTTTCTTGTGAGTTGGGGCACCAGGCTCAAGGGCTGGTTTCACTCGAGTCTCTCCTCCACTTTCAGTGCCGCTCTCCTCTCCTCCAATCTATAATCAAAAAGGATGTAACACAAAACTACCTCATGAACTGGTAGGTAAAAAGGCAAAGTAAGCATTCTTTCCAAAGAGGATCCTGGGTACTCCTCCCGAAGTGCTTGACTATTAGCTACATACCTTAATCTTCAAACGAAGTTTGCTGGCCTCAGAATTAGCAGACTCAACACTCACAGGTGTACCAGGCTGGGAGTCAAGATGACTTAACTCTAGTGAAAAAGATGGAAACCATTTCAATTTCGAGGACAGGTTAACTGTTCCCTTCCCTTCCCTTCTAGCTGCTGCACACTTCCTTGTAAATTCCCACTAAGAGAATATATTGTTATGTCAAGATATTACTCTTCCGCTGTAAGGTTTGTATTTTCTCAACCCTTGTTTGCTGATCGATGTAAAGAAATTACTAAGAGGAAACACGGTAATCAATTTTAGATTAAATATTCAAGTGTGTGTGTTTTTTTACCTGCAGGCGACGCTGCTCTGGAAGCTTTTCTCTTCTGACCTTTCTTTGATGTTGTTGATTCTTCACCGCTGACAGATCCCTGCATCACGGATGACATAAAAACGTAAACATGAACTGATTTGTTAACGCAATTCCTCACTGGAACTCAAGTTTCATTACGTAAGTCTATTTAATACAGTGCTTCTCTCGAGACGTTTTAAAAGTCATCTAATAAAAAAAAATGGCACAAGCAGAAAACACGATGACCTTTAAAAGAGAAGAAACTAAAACTTTTGTTTACTTTAAAGTAGAGGTGAAAAACTAGAGTCAGTGAGTCAATTGTGACGATTGTTTATAACTCACCGGAGATGCTGGTGGTGGAAGAGGAGACCGGCTCATTATTTTCCTTTCCTTCAGATCTATAACGATGCCCATCTACAAGATAAACCATTAAAAAAAAACGTCATTGAGATAATAAATGAAAAGTTGACACCCCAGAAGACTTTACCCGATGCCTTTAACTAGTCGCCGAACCGTCTACTTCACATTCTATTCGCTTCTTTACTTACAGTTGCCTTACACTCACCCCCTGAGGAGGAACACAGCCAGGTGTCAGCCGGCCCCATAATGCATTATACAGCTCCACTCCATCTCGTCTGAGTCGAGCATCAACTGAGGAACTGGTACTAAGAAGAGAAATAAACCAAAAATAATTAAAGATGAAAAAGGAAGAGTTGTACAGAGAAGCAATCGCAGGAGAAAGAAAAAATACCAAAAAATCATATTGTGAATTTAGAAATTATACCACCCGTCCATCATTGAACGGAACCACCCGAAATCGGACAAAGCCACCCGATGTTGGACGGAACCGTCTAAATTATAAAGGAAATGTGTAATAACAAATAAATAAGTGGTAACCCGAGATTCATGGTTAGCGCTTGGCAACACTCACTTGATTAACCGCCACAAGGATTCCACAAGATCCAGATTGTTCAGAGAAGATTCTGATTTGCGTGAGAATGGAGGATTCTTTGTGAGTGAACAAAGAGTGTAGTGTCTGTAAAAAAACAAGGTTGTGCACAATCAATTTACCCAATTAACTCTCAAGATCTGATTGGCTATTCCACTTTCCAACTGCAACTTATTAGTTGGTAAATTAAAGGAGCATTTAGAGTTAGTTCTATGAAGATAACAACCTCTAGCAGATACGCTTGTCTATAATCATCATTTGTTTGCAATATAATGAACTGAAACTGTGAGGAGAAGTTTCACGTCAATCACAAAGTTTCAAAGGCGAATCCAGATTCAACATCTCTCACTGCAGATGCACGAGCTTACACAACAATAGAGAATTGAAGAGGAGATTTTTTTCAGGTAAAGCGTGTGGCCGGTAAAAGGAATAATTAGGTTTGAAGATTTTGCTTCAGACCAACAATCAAAGTTGATACAAACCTGATAAATGGAACCGGGTCTCTCTCAATAAGACCAATCAAGTAAATCATTCCTCTTTCAAGGTTCTCGGCTGAAAAATCAAGAATAAAAGAATATTCTCGCGACGTTTAACACCATCTTTTGGGGAGATGGAATGTTGGTAAAATCGTTTCCAAATACAAACAAACCAAGAGCAACTAATTTTAAACTAAACAGAGGAGCAGTCAGCCTTCTTTTGAAATGTTTCGAGTCGTTGGAAATTGTTGTTAATTGGAAAGAAACTTTTAAACTAACAATTTTTCAAGGAAAAAAGGTTTAGATGAAAAATCAGCCGGAGGGGAACAAAGATGGTTGGGTATGGCAACTCACATTTGGAGAGATCCACAAGGCACTCAATAGCTGCCAGTCGAATATCTTCAAAATGACCATAGCTGGACAAGGAATAGAAACAGAATATGTCAAAATAGAAAAACGTTCAAACTATAATTTTGGACAAACTCAGCAAGGAAATTTTTGAAATATCCAGTTTGACCAAAAAACCTACGAATAAGTCACGACACACACATCCACCTTTCAATGTTGGATATTGACAAAATGTAGACCTCTGACTTGAAATTGTTCACTTAACGTAGCACTTGTGGGGAGGGGAGGGGAGGGGAGGGGCAAAAACTACGAACAGCACAGTTTTTCAACCCTTGTAACTAAGGTTGTAGTTCCCAGGGTCTCTCTATTTCCATCTCTCAAGTTGACCCTTGGACGAGATAAAGAGAGCTACGAATGGCCACCAATTTCAAATACTAATTGAATACACTTGCTTTGAAAAAACCCACCTGGCATAGTATTCAAATGCAGCAGGGTCAGACGGGATTTGACCATTGACTTGAAGAACTCTTAGCGCCTTTAGACAGCTGCGAGAGAGATAACATTTAACTTATAACAGCGGCCTTAGAGCAAGTTTCGACTGAGAGTCAAAAGTCATCCGAAGAAACATTGGCTTTGAATGCGCTTTGTGATTGGTCTAGTAAACACGTGGCAACCACTCAACCAATCAGATGCAAAAGTAAAACCAATCACTTGGTCATGGTTTCCTCTGCCTTTAATTTAATCAACAACCACAATGTAACTGGTGGGCATGGACGGAAAAGCTGCAATGTAAGCTCAATTCTCACGCACACAGCCTCCAGTTTTCATGAATTTGATTGTTTGGCCTTTGGAGCACGTGATCTCTAAAACTATGTGTTACTGGCGGGTTTTTTATATCTTTTAAGAAATGTCCACACTCACCTTACAGACACAACGTATCTGTAAGTTGGAAGTAACTTTTCTAAATTCAGCTGGCGAGTCACCTCGCCTAGGATTAGTTGTGTTTCTTCTGTTAACTTGACCACTGTACTGCCATCACTAGAAAACAATGAAAACGTTATAATAACGAACAATCAA